ATATCTAACTGTTCCTGATTTAACATTAATCTATTTACTGTGTATTATAAGAATAAATAGAGAAAATTATGCTTTCATAACTATTTTATAGTTAATTCGTAAATTTTTATTAACTGAGACTATAAGAATGCTATAAGACTATACTAGCGGTTTTGGAGAACGGGTGCGGACAATTTCATTTAAAATTGCGGCGGAAGAGGGAAGAGGGAAGAGGAAGGTCTTTTCATCGCCAAACACCACCGAACACCGCAAAATGATCTTAAACTATGAAAAAAATAAATATTATGTTATTTTATCTATTTCACGTATTTTAGTAAAAAATTTAACAAATAAAAAGGAAACGAGACCAATTATTAACTCCCAAGAGTAGAACAGTCATCAACACTGCAAAACACCGCCGAACATCCATACCTTTTTATCAATTTTTGTTATTTATTTTACCTTTTTGTTGTTATTAAGTAAAAAATTTAACAAAAAAAAAAAGGAAATGAGACCGAATTTTAACATCGTTTGTTTGGGGGACTTTATTAACGCTATGTTCGACTCATATGAAAAGCTAAATATAAATAAACAGATGTGGTATCAGTGCCAATGAGACAACTCTCCATCCAAGTCACAATGTATAAAAAGTTACCAATTATAGGTCAAAGTACGGCCTTCAACACGGAGCCTTGGCTCACACCGAACAGCAAGCTATAAAGGGCCCCAAAATGACTATTGTAAAACAATTCAAATAGGAAAACCAACGGTTTAATCTATATAAAAAACGAGAAACAAGAAACACCTATGAACGACTCCTTGAAATTTCGGCCCATAACAAACTCGGACTATAACAAAATCGGCCTATAACAAACTCGGACTACAAGAAGAATATAAGTATGATGATGGATGTTATTTTCTTTATTGGAAAATTGGAAAGTTATCTAGCAGCGCTATGAACCACACCAACAAACGATCGCGACAACCACTGAACAACAGGCTCCTGACGATCTAGTCTATGGTGCAATAAAATACTGCTGTGTTCATGGCGGCAAATACCACAAACCTTCATCCACTGAGTTGTTTCATCATTACATGTACATATATCTTCATTTTTGGGCAGTTAAGCTGCCCTAAGCTAGCACACTAGATTTGCTTTTTCATTCTGGAATACTGAAATTGGTGACATTGCCTTTATCTAGCGAGCTAGTAGGTTATTTATAACTAATTGGATATTTTTGTCATGCGTTTAATTGTGGAAAACAAAAAAATATGTTAAATGATCGTCGAACAACCCCAAATAAATGATGTTGCACATAGGAAATAATGCTCAATGGAAAGTCTTACATTGAGTTTTATCTTCTGTGCTTTTGATAAGAACAATTGTATGAAATATTTCATTGCCGAAACTTTCTATTTACACGTCGTTTATATTTGTCAAATGGCAATAGGTGCATAAATATTATTTGGCGGTAATTTTAACTTGAAGACGAAAAGAACATTTTCAAGAATTTATAACACTTTGTGTATTATACAGAAGTAATGTCCTTGTAATATATGGCACATGCATTGATAACTTAACGCGAGAACTTCAGTTTTCTTTCCTTCCTACATATATTACACTATTCTGTTTTATTATACATAACTGGCTCTGTCAAATCTAGTACAGTTGGATAGGAAAATTATAATTCACTTTTACTTTAAAGATAAAAGTATTTAAACCACTGCAGTTTTGAATTTTTTGGCAATATAAAACTTGAGGGCAATATATGGATATTTTTATACGACCGCAAAAAAATTTTTGTGGTCGTATATTGGTATGACGTTGGCGTCGTCGTCGTCCGGCGTCGTCCGGCGTCGTCCGAAGACACATTGGTTTTCGCACTCTAACTTTAGTTTAAGTGAATTGATCTTTATGAAATTTTACCACAAGGTTCAATACCACAAAAGGAAGGTTGGGATTGATTTTGGGGGTTATGGTAATAACAGTAAAGGAATTAGGGGCCAAAAAGGGGCCAAAAATAAGCATTTTTGTAACTTCCAGACATAACTTGTGTGTTAGTGTATGGATCTCTCTGACATTGTACCACAAGGTTCCATATCACTAAAGGAATGCTGGGATTGATTTTGGGGGTAATTGCCTCCAAATTTTAGGAATTAGGGGCCAAAAAAGGGGCAAAAAACAAGCATTTTTCTAGTTTCATGACAATAACTTGTGTGTAAGTGTATGGATCTTTCTGAAATTGTACTACAAGGTTCCATATCACAAAGGGAAAGCTGGGTTTGAGTTTGGGGGTAATTGCCCTAAACGTTTAGGAATTTGGGGCCAAAAAGGGGCCAAAAAACACATTTTTTTCTAGTTTCCAGACAATAACTTGTGTTCAAGTGTATGGATCTCTCTGAAATTGTACTGCAAGGTACCATACCACAAAGGGAAGGCTGGGATTGAGTTTGGGGGTGATGAATCATAATGGGGTTCAAAAAATTTTGGGGGGGGATTTATTTTTTTTTCCTTTTTTTTATTTTTTTCCTTTTTTGTTTCTTTTAAAATTTTCCATTTTAAGTTGGTTATTTCTGATTTATATTTAAAATCAAATAATAATGATATGGTAGGAGATACACACCAAACAGGATGTGTAAATTATTATATAATAAGTATTGTGCAAGTATTGTGCAATAGCAAGAAATTTTCAATTGCACAGTATTGCACAATAGCAAGAAATCTTCAATTGCACAGTATTGCGCAATAGCAAGAAATCTTCAATTGCACAGTATTGCGCAATAGCAAGAAATATCCAATAGCACAATATTGCGCAATAGCAAGAAATTGTCAATTGTACAGTATTGCGCAATAGCAAGAAATATTTAATAGCACAGGATTGTGCAAAAGAAGATACTTCCTATAAATTGCTTATTTCTTGACCAATTTCAATGGGGTTTTATTCTTGATTTCATGGGGTTCTTTAATATGCTGAATCTAACCGTGTATTTAGTTTTTGGATTTTGGGCCCCGTTTTTAAATTGGTCCACATTGAGGTCCAAAGGGTCCAAAATTAAACTTTGTTTGATTTCATCAAAAATTGAATTATTGGGGTTCTTTGATATGCCGAATCTAACTGTGTATTTAGATTCTTAAATTTTGGTTCCGTTTTCAAATTGGTCTACATTAAGGTCCAAAGGGTCCAAAATTAAACTTAGTTTGATTTTAACAAAAATTGAATTCTTACGGTTCTTTGATATGCTGAATCTAACCATGTATTTAGATTTTTGATTATGGGCCCAGTTTTCAAGTTGGTCCAAATCGGGGTCCAAAATTAAACTTTGTTTGATTTCAACAAAAATTGAATATATGGGGTTCTTTGATATGCTGAATCTAACCATGTATTTAGATTTTTGATTTTTGGGCCCCGTTATCAACTTTGTCCACATTGAGGTCAAAAGGGTCCAAAATTAAACTTTGTTTGATTTCATCAAAAATTGAATTATTGGGGTTCTTTGATATGCCGAATCTAACCGTGTATTTAGATTCTAAATTTTTGGTTCCGTTTTCAAATTGGTCTACATTAAGGTCCAAAGGGTCCAAAATTAAACTTAGTTTGATTTTAACAAAAATTGAATTCTTAGGGTTCTTTGATATGCTGAATCTAAACATGTATTTAGATTTTTGATTATGGGCCCAGTTTTCAAGTTGGTCCAAATCGGGGTCCAAAATTAAACTTTGTTTGATTTCAACAAAAATTGAATATATGGGGTTCTTTGATATGCTGAATCTAACCATGTATTTAGATTTTTGATTTTTGGGCCCCGTTATCAACTTTGTCCACATTGAGGTCAAAAGGGTCCAAAATTAAACTTTGTTTGATTTCATCAAAAATTGAATTCTTGGGGTTCTTTGATATGCTGAATCTAACCATGTATTTAGATTTTGGATATTGGACCATAATAGGTGAATGTCCAATTTAAAATTTTTAAGTTCTTAGACCACATTCAATCTGTGTTAGAAACCTATGCTGTGTCAAATATTTAATCACAATCCAAATCCAAAGCTGTATCAAGCTTGAATGTTGTGTCCATACTTCCCCTAACTGTTCAGGGTTCGACCTCTGCGGTCGTATCAAGCTGCGCCCTGCGGAGCATTTTATTCCAATTGTAGTTTGTATTGAGAATTAATGGGATCCTGAGATTGATTATGACCTATAGAGGTACAAAAAATATCTACATGTCTTGTTGTATCATCATCATCTAGACAGAAACCAAAGGGTTGGGTTGACATGATAAGTTCTGTGTTCTCCCAAGAAAATTCAAGTATCATTTTAGCATAGCAGAAACTATAGCATCAAGATTAACCAAACTCAACAACTCAATAGCAAAAGTGCCAAAATCTCGCCTTATTTGATTATAAGTTGATACATATGTTGACAGTCATACTATGTATACTGAGAAAACTTCATGATAATAGATGAACAATGGTATTGAAGCAAACAGTGCATTTATATATCAAATAAAGTTTACCTTGAGGTCAAGGTCAGATCCATGTCTGTAACTCACAATGATTCTATACAACCATTGTAGTCAACCTTTATCTTCTTAATAAATGGGAAAAAGATTTTATCACAAAATTTCAAGCTGATCTATGAATCATGAAAAAGGTAAAGGTAAAAGGAACTTCATTAGAAGACCATTTACTCTTTACATGCATTCTTTAGACCATAGAAGACCTGCTTCTAATAATCTATAAACTACCCTTCGAATGAAAACTTAACGTTCATAAAAGAAACACATCAAATGAGGTTAGAATCAAATGAGACAGATAATTACACAACCATACACCAAATAAAGTTGACTTATTACTTATATTATAGAGACATTGGTCACATACCAAAACTTTCCATTGACCAATAAATCGTGAGAATGCGGTAAGGTTCAAATGAACCCTTTCAGAAAAACTTAACTATTCTTCATACAAAATATTTAACTGACATATATCCCGAGCCTGGTGGTCTTAAAAAAAAAGAGAGATATATATAAGAAATATTTTATTTAAAAAAACTTTGTAAAATATCATTCAGAATTAACAATAAAAATGTATATCATATAAACTTAAATAATAACACATCAAACTCTCCTAATTGCTGTATTTGTTATTTTGAATGAATCCCATATTTAAGGAATTACTCAAACAATGGACTGGAAATGACTAAATTCATGAAGACCAATAGAAAAACAGAAATCAAGCATATTCAAATCAACATTTTCTTGCAAATATAGTGAGATGACATAAATTATCTAAGTACCATCTACAGAGATTTTAACTACAAGGACAAAAATGTGTATAAAAGTACACACACTAACATATATAATAAAGGATTTCAGTTAAGACTTGATTTAAAATTTCAATTTCTTAGGGCATGGTTTTTGTACAATGTGGTTTTTGTAGCTAATAACAGCATATTTATATTCACTGTTTACACTGCTCAGAATATAGTGTAGATCTGAAGGGCAAATTTATATTTTCTGATGATTTACACAAAACAACTCCACAAAATATCATTATGTCCTTGCTTCCAGAAAATTTTGCGAAAGTGAAAGCAAGGTGCATATCGCTAATTCACAATTAAATTGGAAAGCCAAAACAAAGCAAACTTCTAGTTAACTAATTATGACATGTTTGTATTAAAAAAAAAACAGGTAGTGCTCAGGTATCAATTACACAATATTACTTAACAAAGAAAAGACCAGGAACAACCAAAAGGATTTGAAACATTAATGAACTTTAGGTCTTATTACTCAATAGTTGGCTGTATGTTTGTTTCTGATAGTTTCAATAAAAAATACAAGTTTTTTGGCAGCAGGCATTCTAGTTACAATGTTGTTAAATTTCTGCCAATCTATTGCCAGCATATTTTGTCATTTGCAAAATAACTTGAAACACCATCACAGTTTATAAATTAAAGCATTCACAATATCAATGAAATCATACAATACAAGTCTCAACAGAGAGAGAATTAGGACAAATAACTCAATATACTGACAAATACATCAATAAACAAACATTTCTACGTAACAAACTGCCATTTATGGACTTGTTCTGATAAATGTTACAAGATAAGGTTCTTCTAGCTTAAATATCTCAGATCTAATTATCTTTAAAGTAAGAAGAATCAAACACAGGATGTAATAAATAGTTATAACATGTAAAATTGAAAGAACTTACAACTATCTGTAACATTATCACATTGTCTGCTGATATTGAGATTTCTTACATAGATGATATAATTAAATAACAGATGTTTTAATTGGAATCTCCATATTTCTGTTTGTACTAAATATCATATCAAAGAAATCTTTACCAAATGATCATTCATATTCAATATCTCTATTTATTCCCTGTCAATGGGACATTTTGTAGAAATCTATGTAATGATGCTTCTATAAATAGGATTCTCTCTGCTCTCTCTTTAATTTTCCTCTGGACTACTAGTTGCTCAATCATCAGTAAGATTTCATCTCGTTTTTGATACAAGTTTTATAAGTGCTCCATTTGTCCTGTGTATGCATCAGGTGGGACTGAAAATAGAGAGAACATTTCATATTCAAGAGAAAAGAAGGACTAATTTACCATTTTGATATTTTTGCTGGAGAAAGTTAGCAAGTTCAAATTCAAAATTCGTAAGGGTTCCGCGGAACCCAGTGTCTCGCCTACTTCTGCTGTTAATCACAGGCTCAACAAAAATGAGGAAAAAAATTAATAAAAATATTCCTCTCTATACTATCTTTTGATTGTAAGTAGCTTCTGTCCAAGTTTAGTAAAAATCCAGGATAGTTTATGAATCTAATAAATGTTTTAAAATAAAAACTTAAACTGCAGACTGTTATGTAATGTTAACTGGAAGAAAAACTAAGTCCATTTATAAGTAAAATACAGAAAAAATGGAACAAAATTTTAACAAAATTTCCTTTTAGATACTAGCTTTTAATCATAAACAAGCTTCTGTCTAAGTTTGGTACAAATCCAGGATAGTTTAAGAAAGTTGTTAAAATTTTAAAAACTTTAACCACAGAGTGAATGTAATGTTAACTGGCAGAAAAACTAAGTCCATTTATAAGTAAAATATGAAAAAAATGGAATTCTTTTTTTTACAAAATTTACTTCTGGATACTATCTTATGATCACAAACAAGCTTCTTTCCAAGTTTGGTACAAATCCAGGATAGTTTAAGAAAGTTATTAAAATTTCAAAAACTTGAACCACAGAGTGAATGTAATGTTTCCTGGCAGAAAAACTAAGTCTATTTATAAGTAAAATACGGAAAAAATAGAATTTTTTTTTTACAAAATTTACTTCTGGATACTATCTTATGATCACAAACAAGCTTCTTTCCAAGTTTGGTACAAATCCAGGATAGTTTAAGAAAGTTATTAAAATTTCAAAAACTTTAACCACAGAGTGAATGTAATGTTTCCTGGCAGAAAAACTAAGTCCATTTATAAGTAAAATACGGTAAAAATGGAATTTTTTTTTTACAAAATTTACTTTTGAATATTATCTTATGATCATAAACAAGCTTCTGTCCAAGTTTGGTAGAAATCCAGGGTAGTTTAAGAAAGTTATTAAAATTTCAAAAACTTTAACCACAGAGTGAATATTTGTGGACGCCGCCGACGACGACGACGCCGACGGAATGTAGGATCGCTATGTCTCGCTTTTTCGACAAAAGTCGAAGGCTCGACAATAAAACCACACTTAAAATAAAATACAAAATATTTATATAATGAACTGAGTTTCCAGTTTCAGATTTAAATTTTATATCATTTAGGTGTGCTATGGTGTACTGCTGTATGCATCATTTGCTTGTCACTAAATCTTGAATATAATTTACCTATCTAGTTTTTTAATTTTATGCCCATATTTGATTCCAGTTTTTATTGCTCTAGTGTGATGAAATCTAGTGATCATAAATGCAGCAGCAACTGAGAGATCATAATTTTGTTTAGTGATCAAAAATTTCAATTAATTTCAAAAAGCAGCTCTCTATTTATCATCTGGAAACCAAAAATATTCAACCAACAATCAAGTATCATTTGAGATAGCATAATTCTATTACCGTAAAATAAATTTTGTTGTTGAAACCATAACACAAAAAAAAATTCTCTAGAATATTTTTTTTAAGTTTGTACTTCAAACTCATTTCCCAATTTTTAATACATAAAACTGCTGTGCATAAAAATTATTGAAATAAGTTGTTTTAATAACATTGTTCTCAATTATTTAATATGCCTGGACTGACAGACAAGACCTTAATATTAATTCAAGTTTTTGTTAATTGTTGAAAGCTATACAGTGACCTATACTTGCTAAAATCTGCTTAATTTTGACTCTGTTGGATAGTTGTCTCATTGGCAATATTCACCAAATCTTCTTATTTTAAACTGGTAATATTTTAGATAGCTTTTTCTTTAAAACAGTAATAAGCATCATGTATTGAAATAAATACACTTTCCTCCATAAAATTAAAAGCATTTATGTTTATAAATTGGATGCAAACAGCTGACAATGCACCAAATATTTTGAATAAATAAATTTCCCATATGTTCTGAAAAAAATTAAACAGACTGAAAGCTACCACAGATTTCAACTAAGAAAAATCCTTACCCAATATTGATATAAATTATTTAAAATGGGTAAGCTATGCACATTTGCCAAGTATATTTTTGTCAATAACTGATAATGGCAATATCTTCTAATCTAAAATATGATGTTAAAACATGCTGTATGTAGAAACTGAAAAACATTTTACAGGATAGCAATTCTGACAATAAATATAAAAATAGTACATGTATATTTCAACAAATCATGCAACAAATGTGTACAAAAATTTTAAGATATATCCACTTAAACATGAAATTCTAAGGATATTTATTATATGAACATTCAATTAAAACAAAATAAAAGCTAATGCAAAAAAATTGTGAAACAATGAAAACTTGTACAACTTTTTAAATAATAATAATAAATAAACACATCAGTTTGTGATAATTGGTTTTAAAAGTACTTTGCACCTCGTTAGTGGAGCAAGTGAAGTACCAGAAGCTTGTAAATGTGGTAAACAGTTTATGTATTGATGGATGTGTAAAGATAATTTGACTAAAATAACCAATATCTTCATCAACCTTTGATTCATAACTTTCATTTCAGTCTAATGACCATTTAATTAACTTTATTTTTTAAAAATCAGAAAGCCTGGAGGTTAGTAGATGTGACAAGACCATGCCAAAACTAATCAATTTTCAAATTTTTCAGCATCAGAGAATAACTCATTTGTCATGAATATTATTTCCATATAAGGAGCATTAATATTTCTGCAGAATAATTCAGCACTCAAATGTGTTCAATGTTCCCAGAATCTTACTAGACTGGATATCCAATCTTCTTAAAGGGAGATATGTTGTAGATCAAGATGAGATCTTTGAAAAAAAAATAATACATAGGTTACCTTGCTTGTTTTAAGAAAAATAACGTTTTAAAATTTGTGAATATTTATAAGTGTGCTGAAATTTTTCTAAATAAAAATTCAAACTTCCTAAATCTGGTAGATTTGGCAATTAAATAGCCAACATGATTATATTTAAAAGCTCTGATAAATGTGCATTAGAGCTAAAACAAAATAAGTCATTTCAAAACTTGATTGAATTCTCATATTTCATGCCAACATATGTTCAATTTGTTGACCTTTATTGAGCAGTTTTCCAGGGTTCTTGTCATTTTTTTAATTTCTTTTGTATGAGTTGGCTTTCACTGTGTATTTTGAAATAAATTTATAAAAAGTCTTAAAATAGTTACTGAAAAAGTGTTAACCTAAATGTTAAATCATATTTTGGGGCAAAATCAGTTAATACAATTGAAAGTTTATCAACATCTCTCACCAAATTCAAAATTAAGTAAAACAAATAGACAACAATTATGATAAAAACCTATATTTGCCTTGTTTCATTGAAAAAAACAAAACATTTGTCATTTGATGGCTAATTTAGTCCATTGTTTTATTTCTCAGAATTAAGTTAATTTGGTAATTATTTGTTATATCATTATAAACAAAATTAGGATCTTTATAATCATAATAGTTATCTCCCTTTAAATTGTATTTTCTCCCTTAAACTTTATTTAGAAATAAGAAACTTTTAAGAGCCTGAATCACTGACCTGTTGAACATATGCCATTTTGATATTTATTTTATCCTTATTGCCGTTAGTTATGTTTGCTTCATTTTATAATTGGAATTTTTAGAGATCTTGTATTGCTGATCATGTTTTACTGTTCAAAGTTTCTAACTTTATAAAAGGTTTCAAGGTGAAAGGGAAAAACTAAAAAAAAAATAGTTAAAAATCTTCATTTCAGGACAGTAACTCCTCTACGGAATCATTGAATATTTGTAGATTTTGAATTGCTAATCATTTTTGCATTTGGACAGTTTCTATCTATGTATTATGGTTTTTAAGATAATAAGCATAAAAACTAAATTGGTCAAAAATTGTCATTTAAGCACAACAACTTCTATAAGGAGTCCTCTGATAATTTTAGGAAACATATGAAATAGGTAGATCTTGACATTCCCCATCAGATTTTGCCTATCTACTATGGTTTTTATAGATATAAGACAATAAATGCATTTCAAGTGTATGTTCTATTTTCAATCATGGCAGCCACGTTTGTTGACAGACAGGAATAAAAAAAAACAAGCTTTAAACTAGATACCCTATCGATTAATCAGCCAAAGTTTGGTTGAAATTGGCCTGATAGATTCAGATAAGATTTTTGAAAAAGTTTACAACGGCAACTACGAACGCCAAGTGATGGCAGTACCTAACATGCCCCATGTGCTTAAACAACCATAAAACTTAGATTTAAACTAGCGATTGTACACCTGAACAACCACACGATTGTACACCTGATCAACCACAAAATAAAATATATTACAAAGATGATGACAAGGTTTGATTTATCATTATACATCCATCAATATTTACTTGAGAAAAAGTGTGACAAGTTTTCATCACCTATAACATGGAATGATACAATTATATTACCTTGTATTTCTGATGGGAGAAAAACAATGTGTCAATGTAATCAAGATCAACAAGTCTGTCTTCAAATTCTGTTTCAGAAACACAGTGTCAAGGAATTATTTATATTATTTCCTAATTAATTTTTTTCTTCTTCTCTACTTTGGTTTAAATTTCTATATTATAATTTATTAATATATATCATCTTTTAAAAACTCTAGGACAGAAATCTTTCAATGTGAAAATATTGATCGAATTATAAAAATATAACTATGATAATACTACTTAAGACAAAATATGAAGACAGAACTTTTTGTATAATGGTGCAACCATGCTCAGTAATACAACACAAATTTAATATAAACTTGTTATAAAAAGAAATACATTAAATAGTTATGAAAAGGTCAAATTTAAATATGAAGAATGGAAGGACTGAATAAAAATAAAGTCATGCCACAGTAAAAGCTGTGAAATGATGTGTAACAGGGATCATGGTATTTGTGTTCAATTTGATTGAGTTTATGCTTTGTTTACAAGGATCTGAAATTGCTCAGTTCTACTTTCTGTTCAGGTAATTATTACATCGGCCATTGGAATTTCAGCCTTCTTATTTTTGAAGATCAGTATTCAAACTTAACCACAGTCTCACCAGTCCAGGTTTGTTAAATCCTAGAGAGCAATAAGAATTTTTTTATAGGTTAATAGAATCTATACAAAATTTTCACGAAAAAAGTGTGTGGCCTGTGGTTGAAAAAGTTTACAGTGAAGACTAGAAGGTGTGTATCATTAAGACAAAACCATATGATGCCGAAAGGTCTTTTATACAGAAAGTAGAACAAAGTTTTGTCAGATAATTGTAATCAAAGCATGGATACAGGATCTGTTTTTTAATCAGATTGGACAATGTTGAAATATAAAAAAAATATTTAAAGTTAAATTAAAAAAAAAGACTTAATTTTGTTAAAATAAATTTGAACAGGAATTCCGTTACAAGCTCAGTTGTATGAATTGCCAAACAAATGCACACAATTTATATCTCAAGGGAGATAATCCTTACCCTTGATCCCCTATGCAGTCTGTCTTTCATAATAGAAATAAATTCCTTATGACTAAGATGTCCATCTCCATCAGAATCAAAAATCTGGAACACAGTCTTGACTAAATGTGTACTTAATGTTTGACCAGTGCACACCATAACAGCCCTCTGGAAGTCCTCTGTAAATATGATAAAAAAAAATTATGTATTTTCAACAAATTCTATAATTAACAAAATAAAAGTAAGAATGTAATCTGGTTATACTCCCTTATACAGAACAGTATCTTTCCAGTAATGTTAACCCAAAAGCTGTATGAGTTAAGAATAATCTGATTACTTAGTTTTTGTATAAGACTAATTTTGAGCATTCCAAACAGCAACAAAAGGGTAACATGGTCCATGTAATTTCAGAATTTCCAATCAAATTCAACATTGAAAGACAGTTTTATCATCATTTTCAATCAGACAATTGCAAACAATTCTACATGAGGTACAATTTTCTTTTATAAACTTTGACTTCTTTGGAGTTTTTATTTCATTAGAATAAAATACTGCAAACCAAATATTTTTTAGTGAGCGACTTATACAACTTTCGTAATAAACAAATACTGACAATTTAAAAACTGCTAAATTATTGCCATGTTTTTATTAATGGAAAAAATGCAGCAGCATCAGGTTCACAATAATAAAAACTTGCATTCAAAATTTCAGTAGTGATTTCCTAAAATTTTGCACCTATTAATTAGATTTCAAATTTTTGCCAGAAGTCAAGGATTCTCAAATATGGTTTCCTGTAATGCATTTTTATACAATGGAAGTAAAACTGACACATTAAATTAATATATAACATGTAAGAACCCGCAAAACCACACACTGTACATGATAAGTCGTATGAACCACAGACTTTATCAGTTGTGGGTGAAGTAGTTCATGGTATTAATGTATGACAATCTAAAACTACAACCTTCACTTCTTAGAAGGTGCAGGGAACATTGTCAATGGAAATATCCCACAACTTGTTAAAAAGGATATTCAAACAGCTCAAAACTCAAAAAGGTAAATATTGTGTTGACTGCTAAAATACTGATAATCAATAAATCATTTTCATTCGAGTTTCTTGATCCAAATCCTTGTTGTTTTAAACCTGGCCATGGGGGTCAAATCAATTTCAAGTTGTAAATCACTCTACTTGAAAGTTGTATCATTGGGTTAAATATTGTGTGAAGTCACACAGCTGACCTGCATTTCACTATTGATCAACTGACTAATGAGAAGTGGTGAACCTTATCAAATATACAAATTCTTTCTGGTCTTTAATCATAGAACTTTATAAAACACAGGCTTGTAATAGTTATTATTGTAATATAATCAAGTATAAAATAAATCCATATCAAATATGAATTAAAATTGATTACCATGAATTTGTTCTTATTTCACCTTCAGAATCGGATATTAACCACTAGGAACCAGTTCTTATTCTACCTTCAGAATCAGATTTATATTACAACCAGGAACCAGTTCTTATTTTACCTTCAGAATCAGACTTATTTGACAACCAGGAACCAGTTCTTATTATACATTCAGAATCAGACTTATTTGACCACCAGGAACCAGTTCTTATTTTACCTTCAGAATCAGACTTATTTTACAACCAGGAACCAGTTCTTATTATACATTCAGAATCAGACTTATTTGATCACCAGGAACCTGTTGTTATTTTACCTTCAGAATCAGACTTATTTGACCACCAGGAACCAGTTCTTATTTTACCTTCAGAATCAGAATTATTTTACAACCAGGAACCAGTTCTTATTTTACCTTTAGAATCAGACTTATTTGACCACCAGGAACCAGTTCTTATTTTACCTTTAGCATCAGACTTATTTGACCACCAGGAACCAGTTCTTATTTTACCTGCAGAATCAGACTTATTTTATCACCAGGAACCAGTTCTTATTTTACCTTCAGAATCAGACTTATTCTATCACCAGGAACCAGTTCTTATTTTACCTATAGAATCAGACTTATTTTATCACCAGGAACCAGTTCTTATTTTACCTTCAGAAACAGATTTATCAGCATATGTATACATCTTCATGGCTATTGTAAAGTCATCTAAATTATTCAGGAAGTGACAAAACTGTTGGAAATCTTCAAAGGTAATTCCCTGAAACAAACAAAAAATCTATTTGAATTTCAAATAATGTGTATGCTCATAACTTTTTTCTGTCATTTTAATATCTTGCTTTATACAATTCAAATGGTGATTTCGTCTCCAATACCTGTTCACATGCTCGTTTGACTACACTTTGCACTTCTAAATCCTTAAATTAATCTGTAGAATAGTACCTTATGGCATTGCATTGGTTAAACAGTTTTCAAGTTATTACACAGATTGAAACTAAAATAAAGCACAATTTTTCAATCACTTCTGAACAGCAAAAATCAAAATTGCCAAATTCTTTTCCAATGAATGCCCAAAACTCCTGCCTTTCATTACTGTTGAAACACAATGCAGAACCTACCTATTGTTTAAGTTGTTAATTTCTTGTCCTGAATATGCATAAAATAACTGTCACTGAATGTTCAGCAAGCATTAGGCCAAAATTAAATTTAAATTGTTAGATGTTGCCTACCTTCCCACCTAAAAATCAGCCTAACCGAAAAATGTTATGACACAAATCTTTCTAAATTTTTTTTTTTTTTTTTTGATTTTTTTTCTGCTCTTAAGTAGTTTTCTTGTCTAAAACATGTAACTTATGTTGTTGGCCAAAATTAAAGTCCCTACCTACGTACCCAACCCTACAAGGCATGCAGAAGAATTTTTTAAGGGTGGCCTTATCATCAATGAATCCAGAAAAATCCATAAAATTATTTCCTTAAGTACTATAAACCCAAATTTGTATGGAAATCTGATTTCATGAAGGGAAAATTTGTACTGTTGATTAGTTATATAGATTGATTGATTGTTGGTTGCTTAACATCCATTGGCAAATATTTCATGCATGTTCAGGACGAGAACAAACTGACAATAAGTACAATAGGTAGGTCCTGTAATAGAGGCCATCTGGGATGAAGGTCAGGGAAATTTTGACTGCCATAGGAAAATAAGGGTATAATGGATACAGACAGAAACTTAGCCTTACAAGAAGCCACCTACGGACCCCTCAAAAATTTGTTGCAAGGGTTCTAAACATGAAAAGAACGTGGCACTCTCTTTATCCGAGGCATCAGATTTAACATCCCCATTCTGACCAGACATGGCTGCAAACTTGTACATCACGCACGGCCAAACAGATGCCCCTTTTTGGCGAAAGTTTTACTGCCGGTCGGAGAAAGACCAATGGTGACCATATTTCTATTCCCCAGTCACCCTTGTGTGAAGTTATAAAGAAGCTGAAACTTTAATAACCAAACCTTTTCAGTAGGTATTCTGGTTCTAACTCTCACCACTGCTGCTTCCACATCAGACTTATCTAACATTGTATATCGTAGTAAAATTCTAGCAAAGTCTTCCTCAGATATAGTCCTAAAACCTTTAGAGAATTCCATGAACTCTAATTCTATTACTTCAGCCTGTAAATTCTCCATAAACCTGAATAAAATATTATTCATATAACATACACATATATATTCTATTTCTCTGCACATGACCCTTTCAGAAGGAAACATTAGTGGTGTATATGTGTGCTGCAGTTTAGTTAAATATGTCCATTACATTTTTACATTCATGTATTCTTGCTCCTTTTTTTGTGAGAACTCACCACCATGTTGGAAACCTGTAATCACACGAAAATGTCCATAACCTTTACCAAATTTTATATAATTACACTGAAAGGTTTGGTTTTTTTTTTGTCTCTCAAAGTGTTATTTTTGTTGTAGGCAGAAATTGGTTTTACTGCAGATTTTTTTCCAAAATCTGTTACATTTATTGATTACTTATATAGACTGAGAGGTTTAGAGCTGGACATATTGGATAAACAATGATTTAGACATGCTGTATAGATATCTGTGGTATTGTTGAAGACTATGTGTTGATCACAAATTCTTTTTTTGTTGTTACTGTTTCCCTTTTATTCCGATTCCAAGATTTTAGGTTACATTATCTGTCAGTTGCATTCACTTACAGAATGTGAATTCTTTTCTTTGATATGCCTTATGCATTAATTGATATGCCTCTTTGTATTCTATGAATTCTAGCGAAGCTCGAATCCCCATATGGAATTTACTGACCCCATATATATTGTATTAGGTCACTAGCACACCGTGTAACGAATTTATCTTACCAACTTTCTTCACATGTGGTATTTTGACTAGCGGCCTATCAAAGTGATCAAGTCTTCAATACTTAGTATTAAGATCCTACTTCCATTTGTCTATACAGAAAACAAATGCCAACAATAGCAACTTTTAAGCTTTAAATTTGTTTTATGAATCAATTTCAATCGTTCATTACATGTATTATAATTACTTCGTCTGTTGAATCCTTTCAGATTTCTTTTTTTGTTTTGAAAGGGAAGTAACCCCGTTATGCCAACAATAACAACTTGTTAGCGTTAATTATGTTTTATGAACTTATTTCAACCTTTCATCATCAATTTCTTCGTCTGTTGAATCCTTTCAGATTTTTCCTCAACACCGTGTTGTTTTTATGAAGGGTTGTGGCATCATTTTTGTTTTGAAAGGGAAGTAACTCCTTACTAATCCCATATGGTAACTAACCATGTATGGTTGCTAATCCTATATTTATTTAGGACACCCTATATCAAATATACATAGTCACCACGTGTAGTCCTTTAACCAATCATATCTCTATAAATCTATAGTGGTAAGATAAATTATGATATGCCTATTTGTATTCTATGACATGCCTCATTGTATTCTACACTATGCCTGATTGTATTCTATGCTATTCCTGATTGTATTCTATGCTATGCCTGATTGTATTATATGATATGCCTGATTGTATTCTATGATATGCCTGATTGTATTCTATGATATGCCTGATTGTATTCTATGATATGCCTACTTGTATTCTATGATATTCCTAATTGTATCCTTTGATATCATGCCTGATTGTATTATATGATATGCCTGATTGTATTCTATGATATGCCTGATTGTATTTAATGATATGCCTACTTGTATTCTATGATATGCTTGATTGTATTCTATGATATGCCTGATTGTATTCTATGATATGCCTACTTGTATTCTATGATATGCCTGATTGTATTCTATGATATGCCTACTTGTATTCTATGATATGCCTAATCGTATCCTTTGATATTATGCCTGATTGTATTATATGATATGCCTGATTGTATTCTATGATATGCCTGATTGTATTCTATGATATGCCTACTTGTATTCTATGATATGCCTAATTGTATCCTTTGATATTATGCCTGATTGTATTATATGATATGCCTGATTGTATTCTATGATATGCCTGATTGTATTCTATGATATGCCTACTTGTATTCTATGATATGCTTGATTGTATTCTATGATATGCCTGATTGTATTCTATGATATGCCTACTTGTATTCTATGATATGCCTAATTGTATCCTTTGATATTATGCCTGATTGTATTATATGATATGCCTGATTGTATTTTACTTTATGGTTATTCTGCAAAATGCCTTAATGTATTCTATGATAGGCCTACTTGTATTCTACAATATACCTACTTTTATTCTATGATATGCTTATTGTATTCTACGATATGCCTTAATGTATTCTATGATCCCGAATTGCATTCTACAATATGCCTTATTGTTATGTCTAATTGCATTCTACAATATACCTAATTCAGACTACAAACTAGTTTAACCCCGCCACATTCTCTGGATGTGCCTGTCCCAAGTCCGGAGCCTGTAATTCAGTGTTTGTCGTTTGTTGCTGTGTAACATATTTGTTTTTTTCGTTCAATATTTTGAACATAAATTAGGCGATTAGTTTTCTTGTTTGAATTGTTTTATTTTTGTCAATTTGGGGCCTTTTATAGCTGACTATGTGGTATGGGCTTTGCTCATTGTTGAAGGCTGTATGGTGACCTATAGTTGTTAATTTCTGTGTCATTTGGTCTCTTGTGGACAGTGGACTCATTGGCAATCATACCACATCTTCTTTTTATATCCCGTTAATTGAATTCCACAATATATAATTACCTGCTGAAATCATCATATTGCATTGTATCATTTCCCTTAGGTCCAAAGAAGTGAATCAACAATGTTGTATCTGGTATTGGCTCTAGATTCTATTCAAAATAAAATCAGAACAAAACTTAAATATACTTCCACCTACATACACAAACACATTCATGTCACATAACAATGTTTCTTTCACAATAACAGTAGAATGAAATTAGGGGGAAAAACGCAAAAAATTTAATTATACTTATACAAATCAGAAACGAGTTGCTGTTTATCTATTTTTTATGAGTTGACTGAGATTTTTGTTTAATGAGATTTGTTTATCTTTAAATAAAAGGGGGCTGACAATGCAATCAAACCATAACAAGAACAAAGAAAAATGACATGCTAAAATGTCAATGCTTTTCATGCACAGCTTATAAATTAGTATTTTAGTTGTTAGTTGTCCTGCATTGATTCAGAACACAAACACGTCTAATCTGCTAGAAAGCACATCTACATGTATCTTAAAACTCAAATTAAAGGTAATATGGCAGTAAAATTTGTTGAAAAATAAAATTCTGTTTTTAAAAGAACTTGAAGAAATCTTGAAAGAATAACTTATAAAAAATTCAGTCCTTCAAAGGCACAATTGAGACTAATAAACTTTTGTATGTGTCAAACTCCACTTTGAGTTCAAGCTGTCATTTTTTTTCTGCACACCACATGACCTTAAGAGCCAAAGAGGAGTGTATTCTATTCTAGAAATATTCAACAAACTAAACTGTCTGTGTTTAATGCATGGTAGATATGCAAAAATCAAAAAATAAAAGTGATGTTTGTTTTATGTAGTAAAACAACAGATGACTGTAGAAGACTCTCACGATGGAAGGTAGAAACATATAGGATATAAAGTATTTCACATTGCTGCAAATGATAGCATTGCATTTCGTACTTTTCCCAACTTAATATTCATTTAAAAAAAAAATAGTATTTTTAAGTTTATTATTACAATATAGTTTAGACTATAGTTATGTTTAATTACCATATATAATGATGCAGAAATTAAACATCTTAAAATTTTAAGGCATTTTATTTATTTATTTTTCATTAACAATTAAGATCATTTCAATAGCATAGTCTAAAATGTTATAGCTTACATTAACCCATAGTCTTTTAAAATATAGGTGTACTTCAAGTATATTATAAATGACTTCTCAACTAAAATCATTAGACCTACATTACCATCCTATATCAAATAAAACTGTTGACACAGAGATATGTCTCACCTGTCAGCATAAAATTCAGAAAAAGACAATCTGATGGACAGCAACTTTGATAATTAATTCAAAGTCGCTGGACCATGAACTAGTGGGCAGAGCCTCCAAAATGGTCAACAAACTGATGTGTACAGACAGTAATGTAACTCTTTGTCTGTTGTAAGTAATTCCTATCAAACTAACTTAAGCAGAAACCTTATTGATAATCAATTGAAAGTTACTGACCATGACCTACTGGGGCAGGGAGTGGAAATATTTGTCAAACTGATATGTACTGATAGTAATGCAACTTTACTAAAATATCAATGATCTATCACAAGTAGTTCCTATCAAGCTGACTTAATCAGAAATCTTCACATTGAAAATTGCGTATTCATTCAAAGTCACTGGACCATGACCTTGGGGGCAGGGCCTCAAATAGTTGTCAAACTGATATGAGGGTCTGGATGGGGGTCCTTCATTTGCCCATTATTCTCTATTCTTTATATTTTAGCACCTCATTATTCTCTATTCTTTATTTTTTTGGTCCATTTTTCTCTATTTTTTGCCCATTATTCTCTATTCTGTAAACCCCCATCCACACCCTCTGATATGTACTGATAGTAATGCAACTTTATGGAAAAAATATATTGATCTGTCACAAGTAGTTCCTATCAAACTAACTTAAGCAGAAAACTTAACATTGAAAATTGCTAATTGATTCAAAGTTATTGGACCATGACCTAGGGCACAGGACCTCAAAATAGTTGTCAAACTGATATGTACCGATAGTAATGCAACTTCATACAAAATATCATTGATATATCACAAGTAGTTCTTATCAAACTAACTTAAGCAGAAAACTTTTTTTTTAAGCAGAAAATCTAACATTGAAAATTGCTAATTGATTCAAAGTAACTGGACCTTGACCTAGGGGCCTCAAAATAGCTGTCAAAAGTAATATGTACCGATAGTATTGCAACTTCATACACAATACCATTGATCTATCACAAGTAGTTCTTATCAAACTAACTTCAGCAGAAAACTTAAAACAATTGTTGACGCCATCGCCACCAGAAAAACATACCTATGTCTTGCCTAGTCACAGGCGAGACAACAAAAAGTGTGGACACACTAAAATGTCTCACCTACTGTACAATAGGTCAATAATTTCACAGATCAATTAAAACTTAGGTGAAATGGCACCTTGCATTATGTATTTCTTTTCATGAACTCAAGTTCATAATGTTATTGACTTATTAAGGACTGTTTCATGCTCAACAGTTTGAATACAATGTAGCTGCCTCATGACAAATGCATGACAAACACTTCATACAACAAAATCATATAAAATGTAATATATGTACTGGTAATGCCTGTTTTACACACCTACTGAGGACAAACATTATCTAAAAATTTAACTCAACTTATAAAACTACCCTTTAATGTTCAATTATGACCACACATAAGTAAGGGCTTACTTTTTACTTTAACAGTAATGTTCGATCAATTTACTAAAATTGAGGTCTAGGCCATATATACATTAACATTATATTCCACTGGACAAAGTACTGATGACAAACCTGTCCTGAATAACTACTGAGGAAAACACCAAATAGAGAATCAACTTGACCAATGGTCAAAATGTAGGATAATAATTAGATGATATTCACCAGCCTTTTATCAAGTAATGTAACAGAAATGGTCAAGTCCTTCCTTATGGTATGGGATACCACAGAAATCAATGTAGTCAAAAATTAAAATAGCAGTTGAACAACTTTGTGTCCTGTAGCAGAATCTTATTACATGTAGTTTGGTTGAATTCTGTCAAGCAGTTTAGAAGGAGTTGCTGAGGTTAACAATAAAAGACCCAGACAACAGAATTGATTTGTATGTGTAACCACAACACTATCATATCATATATTGAAATAATTTTTTTTAACCTACATGTAAGTGAAAGAGACATAAAAATATTTGCAAATGTTTAGAACAGCAGGATAGCAAAACTGACATCTTGCTTCCTGCAACTAATATCACATGCAAGACATAAAAAATATAAAAACAAACAACAAATATATAATCATAGCACTGACCCTCATTTCTAACAGAAACAAATAAAATATGATAAAAATCTGTGAAATGTCATTATAATTCTAGATTTTTGTCATCATCAGGATATATGTTGTTAGTAATGATCAGTGACAGAACAAAACATACGATGCTACAGATATGTGTTTCCGACTGACACAAAGTTTACCCGTAAGAAAGCTTCTACTAAAACATGACCCATTGTTCCTTTAGTGGGAATATCCTGTTACAACAATGACAAAACATAGAAATAATATGTAAAATCTATAAAATATCTCAATAATGAAAACAACAATTTCTATAAACTGTCCTAAACACAAACTTACCGTCCTAAACAACTATAATGAACAGATAATTGACAAACATACATTTTATTGAAGCTTAATTCCTGACACACAACAACTAAACTATTCATTACACCAAATATCAGGCTGATTTGATGAGTTTGATGATGATGATGATGAATGGCTGTTCAATGTCCAGCGGCAATGTATATTCAGGACAAGGACATGTTAATATGTGATATGAATTTTAACCCTGCTTTGTACTAAGACTTTTTCATGGATTTTTCACATGCTAGTTCACAGTTGCTTACAATCTGCAGGAAGACATGTCACCCTTCCCAGACATATTATTCTGACCTTGAGCAGACCAGTCTTTGCTCTACTCCTTAATGCAGCATGCTTTAAGTGGAGAAGTGTCAAATACCATTTTTTTAAAGTTTTGGGTCTGAAACGGCCATGGTCAAATCAAAGACCTCCCCTACTAAATGTGATGCATGCTATCATGAGACCATCAAGGCCATTAGTTTACATTTATATCAAGTATGTCAGTTCAGACAATTTGTCAGAATGATGCTTTAATTAATGAGACAATAATGGTATAATAAAAGTTGTAGAGTTTCAAATATTTAAATGTGTTGTACCAGTTTGTCATGCATGTACTGTTATTAAGACCAAACTCAAAGGTTAAACGATAAAACTTGAAATATATTTCATATATATTTATTTTGTAAACAGAGGGATAAAAGATCTTTTGCCAGTGTATCATGTGTATACCGATAATAAGGAAATATGAATGCACAAGAAAATATTAACATAAAATAAACATACTTTACGTGTAATGGCTTGGGCTGTATCTTGTTGCTGGTTACTAAACACACCTTCCAACTGTAAAATTGTTAATGGGATAAAAACACAGGTAAACAATTAATAAAACAAAAATATAGGTCAAAATGAGGCAATGAAAAACAAATAATAAACAAAAGAGGGAGATAACCCAATTACTAATGCAAACTTTGTCAGCTTAATTATTTAAAATGAAACTTGCTGTACCAGTCTGAAAACCATATGTATAGAAAACTAAGATATTGTCTTATTAGACATTGGAGCCCTCAACATTATTGCAAGAATAAATTATCTATAATATTTGAATTGGCTATTTGTGGTTGACATTTGTTTTTATATGTCATAGTTTTTTTGTTAGGATTAAACTGTTTGGAAAAGTTCCTAGAATTGTTTATAGAAAAATATTCAGTCTACACAATCAAAAACATCAATAAAAGTTATCATGTCAGCCATGGTATGATGACCTCTTCATATCACCTTCCTGACATTCACTACACATTTAATTTGTAGTTTCGTATCAAGTATTAACTTTATCTTTTACAACTTGTATAATTTCTGATAAATCTCTTTTATGTTGAAATCTTCTGCGGTCTTTTTTCATTTTGAAATTTTTTTCACGTCTTTTTTATTTAATTTTGAACTTTTGTGCTTTGTGGGTTTTTTTTCAACAACAACATATCTGTTAAATCTTTTTTCAACTGGGGACAAATATCTGATGAATATTTTTTCCATGCGACTTGTTCTCTGATATATTTTTTTCGTGAACTTTGCTGCTGAATCATAATTTTACAGTGACCATAAATTTTGAATATATATTTGTCATGACCATATTGTGTTCATGTGACACCAGTTGGATTGGAATATTTGACAACTATCTTACATTACTAACAATTTTATTCTATTTTTAACTATTCATAATAGCTATTCTTGCTATACCACTCCACTAGGACAGTAATATAATTCAATATTAACCCATTTAAACGTCAAAAATATTTCTTTAATTGGAATTAATTCAGTTAAAGGTGCAAAATCTACCCTGATAGTAAGTTGTAAAGCCAATGGAATTGCACTTTGTAAAGAATAAATTTCTCTTAAGCCTTTTTATAATGTGTATTTTGTATTCATAAATTTAATTAACAAAAGTTTACAGTAAATTATGCTAAGAACAGACTGTGAGTTGCCCTTTTTTTAATGAAGCCTGTTTCCTAATGGTACATCATCACATTCGGGAATCGATACTAATGTCCACAAATTAACAGAATCAAATTAAGTTACACAAAACTGCCATCAAATTCATGTAACAATCCTATTTATAATTTACTTCCTGGTAATATAAATATTGTTAATAACAACAGCGACCATGATTTCTAGGTAATTATATAAGGAGTGAGGTCCAGATTGCAGACAGAGACTCAGTGCAGTGACAAAAACAACATTAACATACAGGGAAATTGTTATGCATTTGTGTGTTTGTGTGTGTGTGGTGTTACAGTGTTTACCTGACAAATTCCCCACTACCAGAACTTCATTGACCAAATGTTACAATACTCTCCCCTTCATGTCACCAAAGTTAACATTCCTTTTTTTTTTCTTTCTAAAATGTTTACATTTGTCTCTTTTTTCTTCTTTCTAAAATATTTACACTTGTCTATCTGCAAATGACTGATATGTGCCCATTTTGACTGGACAAGCTGATAACTGCTTGTGTGTCAATCATTAGCAGTAATGAAAACAAGGTAAGAGTTTAAGATGATTCAGGATCTTTAATGCTTAATTTTGTATGACTTCTATTTTGGTAAGGAGTTAAAAAGACAAAATATTGTGATTGTTAGTTTTCTTTAGCTGTGTTTGGTGACAAGAAAAGGTGGTGTAGATGGTAACGTTTGGCCAATAAAGTGCTACTACTACTACTACTATATGTACAACAGGTATCAACATACACAGGATATTGCTGCTTTGATCAACCATTGATACTATGATAGAATTACACAGTAGCTACTAGTAACTACAATACACTAAATCTTGCTGAATTAAACAAATAAATTTTACTACACAATCAGGTGTATGCCGATTTACATGTATAAAGCTTTTAAAACATTGTAATTCTTCATAAGAAAAAAAATCATTCTATAAATATTTAGTTAAAAAATAATTGTCACAAAACAAGGCAAATACTACCAAAGACAAAGTACTCTATGCAATCATTACTAAAAATATTAAATCAGTGTAAAATAACTGCGCATTTTTTCTGACTAAACGCATGAAAAACTTGCATGCACCTCTAACATGCTTCTGTCTATAACATGCATGTTACATATCTCAATAATTAAATCTTGATTCACCTGTTAACCTGTATGGATAAAATCCATTGATTTCTAGCATGCTAGTCAAACCCATTTTAGCCTAATATCTAAGCAATATTACAAGCAATGATCTGACAGAAACATTACTAAGCACTTAAAATTCAGATCAGAAATCCTTAAACTTAGAACATAAACAGAATCAAAACTTGCAGCACAGAAGTATGACATTCATAACAGATTTAGAAAAAAGTATAAAACATATCAACCAGACCTTGATCTATACTGAGTGTATCCAGGATAAAAACAACATGTTTATCAACTGAATACAATTTTTTTATTCTTCCTTTTTCCTTTTTTTCTTAAGAAATGCTCTATATAATATATATATTTTTCTGATATTAACTTCTAGATGATATGCACATGAGAAAGTAAAACAAGAATTTAATTCTGTTGTTTTTCTTTTTCCTATGAGGTGGGAAAACTTTTGTCTCAATTTTTTATCTCAAGACATTAAGAAAAGCTTCTGATTAATATATGAATCTGTACATTTTTTGTCTTTATCAGCATATAAAAGTATTCCTATTATCATGACAATTTGTTCTGTCCTGTATTTCAAACCAATATTTTGTGTTTACATAATATTAAAGACCATCTACCAGTATGGACTCATGCGCATGGTTAGCAGTATAGGATAGCATGCAGGCAATGCAGACACAAAAATGATGCAAATGAGAATGGCAGCAGAAAGGCTTCATAAGTAGGTCAATCATTTAGGAAATACAGCTATTTTTTTGTTTCTAACAATTTTTTGTATCTATAATTCCATATTTTTTCTATATTTTATTGTTAAAACTTTATTTCTCGTATTCAGACAATTTCAATTGAATATTTTTCAAATGGTATAGAAATAAATAAATATATTCTATTTTCATCATGTTCATTTATCCAGTTTCATAAATAATTGAGTACTTCTTAAGCCTTTCGGGATATAATTTGCCTTTGCATAGGATTGGAACATACATCTAAAATTGCCTGCAATTTGGCACGTGGTCGAGGAACAAATTTACGTTCCTGTGGGGGCAGAGCGAAGAATGATTCCAACTGAAAGAAAGAAAATCAACAAGATCAAAATATGTGTGAAATAAACAAAAAAAATGATTACAAGCAAATAAATAAAATTATTACGATGATGAAAAACAATGGCATAGTGTGAACGTGTCTTAATTAAAATCATGCATGGTATTTGAAATCGTGGTAGGTTAAAGGTCAGTTACTAAATAACCCTGTTGTTGTAACCTATACCTTAATACTATCAGTAGCATGGACTCTTCTGTTTTCTATGTCTATTTTCAAGATCTGTGGTTGAAGAAAATAAGTGAAATCATCCCTTTTTAATGATTAACATCTTTGTCATACATAATTGATGACATATCTATGTTTCTGGTTTTATACAATACATGTATTATCTACTGCTGATATTGTTAAGAAGAACAACAAAGTAACAAGACTACCATATATCAGTTATTTCCCTTTAAACATTAAGAATTACCTCCCTTGGAATAAGTGAATTTGTCAGTATTGGGAGTAGATTTTATTTTTTCAGAGTCAATCTCTATGGGAAACTTGTGATTTATGTTTTTTTGTAAACATGTGTACAAAATTGATTTCTACATTGTTCTAAGGCACAGAAATAATCAGCATTATCATTGTTGTGTTTTTAGTTTTTGTTGTCCTTTATACTGCTTATACTTTTCTGGTTTTTATTGCACATGAATTGTGTTTTATGTACCTTGTTTAACCCTTTTGCATATTTATGTTCCTGTCCCAAGTCATAAACTATACAAGTTGCCGTCTTTTATCATTTATGTCTTTTATCATTTATCGAGTAGTTGTCTTTTGTCATTTATCAATGTTTTTGCCACTTTAAAAATTTGATGCAGACAGGAGATCTTTGATAACTTCATTCATATCATATTTAGGCCCTGGACAACTTACAACTTGGCATGTTTATATAGACATCTGTGTTCTATTGACAACCAACTGTTGACCTCTAATGTGTTGTTACTTAGTTTCTAGTGTGTATGGGTTTTGTTCATTGTTGAAGGCCGTACGGTGACCTAAAGTTGTTAACTTTTTGGTCTCATACCACATCTTCTTATTTCTACATTCTTGTGTTGGTATGTTGCTATATCATTGATGTATACCAAAGATTGCCTTGTAATAAAACAAAGTTAAAATCTGAGTATACTACAGTCTAAGAGAGGCAAAAGATACCAAAGGGATATTCAAACTCATAAGTTGATGAAAAACTGAAAACCAGGTATTAATTAGGCTAATGTGAATGTTTCACATTTTACAATTCTAGAGTCTTTAATGGCTACCGTACTTCATGTATACCTTACTACAAAATTATTTTTATTTACCTGTGTACGTTATTTTATTTGGCGGCATTTTGTCCAAGGTTATGGTTGTCTTTTTGATATTGTTTTATATCTAACCCCCTTGTTTTATTAATTTTGTATTTACATTGTCATAGATCAAATTTATTCGTTCAGTGTATGTTCACTTGTTTTTGTTAATATGTCCTTTGATTGAGTTAAGCCATTTCAATTGATATTTTATAGTGTGTCTTTCTATGTTGTGATGTTACACTATTGTTTCAGGTAGGGTGAAAGTTGGTGCCTGTTAAAACGTTTAAACCAGCTGCATTTGTTTGCACCTGTCCTAGGTCAGGAACCTGATGTTCAGTGGTTGTCGTTTGTTGATGTGGTTCATAAGTGTTTCTCGTTTCTCGTTTTTTATATAGATTAGACCGTTGGTTTTCCTGTTTGAATGGTTTTACACTAGTCATTTTGGGGGCCCTTTATAGCTTGCTGTTCGGTGTGAGCCAAGGCCACGTGTTGAAGGCCATACTTTGACCTATAATGGTTTACTTTTACAAAATGTGACTTGGATGGAGAGTTGTCTCATTGGCACTCATACCACATCTTCTTATATCTACCTATACAGTTTTAGTTTTGCTCATTGTTGAAGGCGGTACAGTGACTTAGGGTTGTTTACATTCTTGACCTTTTGGTCTTTTTTGGATTCAACTTGTAGGCTTGATGCTCTATGGTCGGGTTGTTGTCTCTTTGACACATTCCCCATTTCCATTCTCAATTTTTATGTCAAATAAGGCCGCAGGTCTTGATCAATCTAATGAAAATCATAATTCAATGGGAACAGACTTCTGGACTGTTGTCTTACCTAGGTAATTTCAAAACCTGGTAAGGTTGTTAAATTGTATGATTTTAATATAAAATGCAAATGTTTATGGATTGTGTGTATTGCTCAGGGCAGAGTATTTACAATAACATTGTAGGAACAACAGCTGGCTCCAATTCAGGACTTGTAAACAATCAAAAAACTCTTTGTTAATAGATCACAGGTTTAAATATGAGAAGTCAGTAAAACAAATGTAACTAACTAGTTAGAACTGGTCTATATACATAAAGACTTAGAGAAGAGGTAAATTGTATCATACCAACACAGTTCAAATTTAAGTTGATATATATTTTACATATTTGAATACTGAAATTTACAGCTTGATAAAATTCAATTGTATTGCAACCTACATGCATCTTATTTCCATTTTTTTTTTTAAATTTATTTATTAAGAATTCCACTTTGAATAACAATGAGCTTATTTACTTTAGGCATTGATCTGGTACACAATCATGAAAACTAGAAAACAAAAACATTACAGTCTATGACCTTAGCTTTTTATGGGCATTCATGTATATATGTTAGTGATTTGCTTTTGTCTAGAGTTGCATCCCTTATAATGGAAAAACACTATGCCATTGAAAAAACTATTCAAAAATGTAATAAATGACTATCAATTGACATCTAGAAAACTTTCTACTAGTGTGTATGTGCAAACTAATTTTTCCCATATATATAATGATACAACTACACACCAACTAGAAGAACCAAATACAAAATCTCTTCAACAAAAATCTACCAGAAAGTTGTTTTTAATCTATGTCAAATAATACAGTGAAGGAAGCTAACTAAAATGTCTTGATATCAAAGACTGACATGTACCCTTGTTAAAAAGGGTGAAAGCCAGAAGCATATTGTTTACTTATTATATTGATTATGTGATTTTTGTTTCATTACCAGGCCACACAAATCTGATTTATCTAATGAAGTATATTTATAAATGTTTTTTTTCCAACTTGAAATAAATTTCAAAGAAGGGAGTATCAAAATATGGCAAACATTTTCTAACGCAAGAGCATCAAAATATAGATAGAGATTTTACAATTAAAAAAGAAAACTTGAATTGCTACTGGAGAGTTAAAAATATTGAGTTTATTTCAAGTTTATTTTTGGTAAAAAGATGAGATTTTTTTCAATTGAATGCCCTATCTGGTAAAAAATGTCTTTTTACGGAAAGATGAACAGTGTGTGGTCTACTGAAGCAAGTGAGACTAGAGATACATATACATATCATATACTGAACTTATTCTAAAATTCAAGGATTATATAGGCAACTATTTACAAAACTTATCGTATATTTAATGGTCCAGGATTTACAAGACATATACATAACAGATACTTAATGGTCCAGAACTTAATTGTAATACAGTGAAATTTGATAATAAACTTGAATGAGAATGCATTAAACTTGATTATCCACGATTCATAAAACAAGTCTCCTCATTCTCACTGTGAAAACATTCATTATAAATATATCTTTTCTGTGACAAGATTTCCAAATGACGTAACCAACAAGGCATGTGAGAGAAACAAACAGTTTGATACCAGAATCCAAACTTAATCCCACTACATCGTACATCTCAACTCATGTGTTTCATTATACTTTGAAATATCTTAATGCTAATAGCATTCACTGTAGTGTTGTTGGCTCGGTAAAAAATAAATACTTTACCAAGCTCTGTTGAACGATGATTTATTTGATATTAAAAACTATTATTTCACTCCTATATACAGAATATATGAGAATACAATTGAATTTTAATGTCCTCTGTCTAGTATAGAATGACCTATCACTGTATTGTTGGTTGACATGAATAGAACTAATATATGACTTCCCTTTATCACATAAAAAGTAGGAACTTAAAACTCTGATTTACCATTAAAATATGTAACTTTACAGTCACAAATAAATTGGGTTTGCAACCATTTCAATTGTTGAAATTAATTACTGCAGAAAAAGACAATTAAAAAAAAGTCTGATAATTCAAAAATAAATAACAAATTAAAACCCAATCTACCCTCACAGTTATACAGTGTATAGTAAAATCAAGATATACTGTTAACACACAAAAGTTATTGTCAAAATTCAAAATATATTTCAGTCATTAAATATTAAAACTTGATTAATGAATAAATTCATACTAAAAAAATTCATGTTTTAATTTTTCTATGAAAACATTTACACAAAATATATAACGACAATTAAAATTAATAGACTAAAGTTTAGAATATTTGAGCAATTTTAATCATTTATATATATAAAAGTTGGAGGAATGTAAATTTCAATAATTAACTCTAAGAGAAACTACTTATCAGATTAATGTTAACATATTTATTTAATTGAACAGGACACCTGCATCAGAGTTACGTTTTCTATTCAATATTAAGGAATAACTATAACACAGATTTAAATATTCACTTTTTATACTATTTCATTCATAAGCTATCAAAGTAGGTTTGTAAGAATTGCCTCCCTTTGAGCACTTTTAGTTCAGAATTTGGTGGAAAAAAAATAGAATAGTCTGCGAAGCACAACAAATAGTAGAGATATCTTGTCAACTTTATAGAATGTACTATCATAAAATAATTGTGCCAGAAAATACATACGACTAAGAATTCTTTTTTATCCACGATCTGATTGCCATCTGTATCAAACATGTTGAATGCTATTCGGAAACCAGACTTTGGCTCTGTAATGAGAACAATAATTAATAATTATTTTAAAAATCAAAACAAAAAAAACTTTACGCATTGATTATAAGTTTCTTAAAATGTTCAATTTAAAACTAGTAATTAATGTTGTGACCCCCATTGGTTATATATATATATATATATATATATCTAATTTACCCCAAGGTATAATGGTTAATGCAAAAGAATAGGTTTCAATAATTTAGAAGGGGGACTTTAAGCAAATTGATCTTATTCTATGGTACATGTAAATAAATGTCAAAATAAATGATAAATGCTTGATATCAATTCACATTTAATAACATTTTTGTGTAAATGAGGATTTTTTTCTAATGAATTTCTAGGATATAACCAAAAAGTAAAACAACAAAAATACTGAACTCCAAGGACAATTCAAAACGAACTCCAAGGACAATTCAAAACGGAAAGTCCCTTAACACTTGGCAAAATCAAAAGCTCAAACACATCAAACGATTGGAAAACAAATGTCATATTCCTGACTTGGTACAGGCATTTCCTTATGTAGAAAATGATGGATTAATAGATATAAGATAAACCTGGTTTTAAAGCTAGCTTAACCTCTCACTTGTATGACAGTCGCATAAAATTCCATTATATTGACAACAACGTGTGAAAAAACTAGACATAATAGGTAAAAATGTCAAAAATAAGGGTACAGCAGTCAACATTGTGTTATAATCTCAATCACTATAAAAAACAAACAAATATGTCAACAAAGAAAACCAAAATGGCATAAAGACAAAGCACATATATGCAAAAATGAAACACAAAAATACAAAAAATGATGGGTTTCCCATTAGAATCAAAATGATTCCATCATGCCATACTCTGTTTACAACTTGCTACACTTGGTATTAAGATATTAACAAATATAATACCTACTCATATTAAAATGAGATATTTTGAGTTTGGCATGAAAAAATGATTTCTTAATTTTCATATGTTGTTCTTCTTTTGCTTTGTAAACAAAATATCAAAGAATAAATTCTTCATCTGGATACTTGGTCGACGGTCTTCTAATATGCTTTAACAAAAAAAAAACATGTTCTAATTCATATAGAACATGGGGTGCACATACGTGACGTCACAATTATAATTGAACATCACCATATATTTAAATGGACATTTGGTACATAAATCAGGCCGTTGAGTTTTTGTGTTTGAATTGTTTTACATGTCATGTTGGGGCCTTTTATAGCTTGCTTATAATGCAGTATGTGCTTTGCTCATTGTTGAGGGTCGCACTGAGACTTATAGTTGCCAACTTCTACATTATTCAGTCTCTGGTGGAAAGTTGTCTCATTGGTATTCATATATGTACCACATCTTCTTATTTTAATATTTGTGTCGCTCGCTAGGATATTAAATAAAATGTCTATAAAATTAAGTATATATGTATCTGTTCATTTTCGAATCATGAAACAGTCGTTTTTTCTAGTGAGTTTTGTCTTCATCAAATCAAAATGGCAGCCTTTTGAACGAATCTTATAGGTCTGCATTGAAGTACAAAAGTTCATCATGCAATACTCTGTTTACAACTTGCTACACTTGGTATTAAGATATTAACAAAAATAATACCTACTCATATTAAAATGAGCATATTTTGAGCTCTGCATGAACAAATGATTTCTTAATTTTAATATGTCGTTCTTCTTTTGCTTTGTAAACAAACCCATGTTCTTATTATAATCATTGATTTTACTCTGGAGTTTCAAAACAGTGAAAAAGATCAACAAAACATAGAATAAAATTATATATGCCCTTCATATATAAATTATATTTGGTAAAATGTGGATATCCTGATGTGGACAACAGGAAACAGAAAGGCATTTATCTTATGTTAAATATTTGGTAAAAAATTTAATATCAGTAAAATAAACTTGTAGGAAATGGAAGCAAATCATGTCAAAACCATTAATACTTTTTATGGCCCAACTTTAAGTTGTACTTTTACATAATGAATTTAAAGAATTCAATTCTTAAATAATGTATGTCATTTTACTCTCTTAATAACAAATTGTTAACAAATTCTTAAAACATATAAAAAATTGTAGAACATTTAAAACTTTGATCACAGATGACCTCAATATTTTCTTTCATATTTAGGTCATATTCAGTGCAGTTTTAGGATGATTGGGTTCAAATTAACCGCATAATTTGTTTTATGCATCATTACACCGTCTTAGGGATTCAAAAGTTGACCAATATGTGATGGAAATTATAGACTAAACCAAAAAATGCTGATGCCGAATATTTTATCTACTTAGTACAATTATGATGAAAGCTTTTAATTCTTATAGTTTTAGAAAATATTTCAAGTAACTCCGACAGTATATATTTCAGACCTCTCACTAGAGACTGATTTCAAAACCAATTTATACAATAGTCAACTAATTAATCTAACAAGTGATTATAAAAACAAGACAAAATGAAATGAGTAATCTTTTATATGTTATGAATATTATGTGAATGTCTTTTCAATATATCTGTGACAACAAGATGTACCCTTCCATGTTCTAACATGGCTAAAATCCATCAGTCTGGTATATCTTTATCAAAGTCAAATCAGTATTTTAACATTCCTGAACCTGAGAATATGCTATGAGTATGATTTATATTGTTCAAATGCCATTTAGTCTTGATGACAGATTTTTATTTCAATGTAACCACTATTATACTTGACCTCACAGGTCCCCCTTTTAACATCATGCATTTTATCAAAATGAGGTACAGTTCAACATTTGAAAAAATTAAATACTTTAGTTACAGAATTAGCATTAATTTTCTCATTTATTTAGGTAATGCATTTTATCAAGGTTAAAATTACAAACACGCACTTAATTCATTTAAAAAAAAAAAGAAAAGCCTAACAGTATATAGAAACCATGGAACCTGACAGTATATAGAGTGTGTGATACCATCGACCTGACAGTATATAGAGTGTGTGATACCATCGACCTGACAGTATATAGTGTGTGTGATACCATCGACCTGACAGTATATAGAGTGTGTGATACCATCGACCTGACAGTATATAGTGTGTGTGATACCATCGACCTGACAGTATATAGAGTGTGTGATACCATCGACCTGACAGTATATAGAGTGTGTGATATATAGAAACCATCGAACCTGACAGTATATAGAGTGTGTGATACCATCGACCTGACAGTATATAGAGTGTGTGATACCATCGACCTGACAGTATATAGAGTGTGTGATACCATCGACCTGACAGTATATAGAGTGTGTGATACCATCGACCTGACAGTATATAGAGTGTGTGATATATAGAAACCATCGAACCTGACAGTATATAGAGTGTGTGATACCATCGACCTGACAGTATATAGAGTGTGTGATAAGTTTTATTTCTGTACTTTGTCTGTTTCCTTACTACAAGAAATCCTTTGTTATACTTCACATCTTCAATGTATAAAAAGTACAATGTAGTTAACCTTCTAAATTCCCCAAGTCGATATTCTATTGTAATGAAAACCTTGATTTATTCCATGAATTTCGTTCCTGTTTGTGTAATACAAATATTGTAATTTTAGTTCTTTATAAAATCCAATAACATTTTGATCCCTTCCTCGATATCTACCTTATATTCTTCAGTGTTACAAATAATTGGAAGTATTGGTAATCATCACTATATATATACATTTTATACATAGATGAGGTAAATTTCATTCCAATTATAAACTTTACGCAAGTAATTTCCATTTTAATCAATACAATATTGTAATATTTTGAAGCAACAGCTAAGGCGGCAGTGTGTAAGTATACGAAGTTTTTTGTTTTTAAGACATATTTTTACACCATGTTCAGGTAACTATTTGAATACAAGGGGCCTCAGTGGCTGAATGGTCTAAGTAGTTCATAGTGAACACCACAGTGAGGTAGTCTGAATGGTCTAAGTAGTTCATAGTGAACACCACACTGAGGTAGTGAGTTTGAACCAATAGATCATTCTATTTGGATACATTTCATCAGCTTATGAAATTTTTTCCTTCCTTTAGACTTATGAGGTGTTATATGTGATTTTCTTGGTTGACTTGTACAACAAATTCCACATAATTTGGACAAAAATCTGTTGGTCCTTTGTACGGTATTGTACCTTGTTAGGTTTATAACTAGTGGACTACCCTGGTCTTTAGTTATACCCTTGTCGAGATTTATAACTAGTGGACTACAATGGTCTTTAGTTGTACCCTTGTCAAGATTTATAACTAGTGGACTACCCTGGTCTTTAGTTATACCCTTGTCAAGAATTATAACATATCCTTGTCAAGATTTATAACTAGTGGACTACAATGGTCTTTAGTTATACCTTTGTCAAGATTTATAACTAGTGGACTACAATGGTCTTTAGTTATACCCTTGTCAAGATTTATAACTAGTGGACTACCCTGGTCTTTAGTTATACCCTTGTCAAGATTTATAACTAGTGGGCTACTCTGCTTTTTTTTATTTTACCATTGTCAAGATTTATAACTAGTGGACTACAATGGTCTATAGTTATACCCTTGTCAAGAATTATAACATACCCTTGTCAAGATTTATAACTAGTGGACTACAATGGTCTTTAGTTATACCCTTGTCAAGAATTATAACTAGTGGACTACCCTGGTCTTTAGTTATACCCTTGTCGAGATTTATAACAAGTGGACTACAATGGTCTTTAGTTGTACCCTTGTCAAGATTTATAACTAGTGGACTACAATGGTCTTTAGTTATACCTTTGTCAAGATTTATAACTAGTGGACTACAATGGTCTTTAGTTATACCCTTGTCAAGATTTATAACTAGTGGACTACAATGGTCTTTAGTTATACCTTTGTCATGATTTATAACATACCCTTGTCAAGATTTATAACTAGTGGACTACCCTGGTCTTTAGTTATACCCTTGTCAAGATTTATAACTAGTGGGCTACTCTGTTTTTTTTTATTTTACCCTTGTCAAGATTTATAACTAGTAGACTACAATGGTCTTTAGTTATACCTTTGTCAAGAATTATAACTAGTGGACTACCCTGGTCTTTAGTTATACCCTTGTCAAGATTTATAACTAGTGGACTACTCTGTTTTTTTTTTATTTTACCCTTGTCAAGATTTATAACTAGTGGACTACTCTGTTTTTTTTTTATTTTACCCTTGTCAAGATTTATAACTAGTGGACTACAATGGTCATTAGTTATACCCTTGTCAAGAATTATAACATACCTTTGTCAAGATTTATAACTAGTCGACTACAATGGTCTGTAGTTATACCCTTGTCAAGATTTATAACTAGTGGACTACAATGGTCTGTAGTTATACCCTTGTCAAGATTTATAACTAGTGGACTACCCTGGTTTTTAGTTATACCCTTGTCAAGATTTATAACTAGTGGACTACAATGGTCTGTAGTTATACCCTTGTCAAGATTTATAACTAGTGGACTACTCTGGTCTTTAGTTATACCCTTGTCAAGATTTATAACTAGTGGACGACAATGGTCTTTAGTTATACCCTTGTCAAGATTTAAAACTAGTGGACTACCCTGGTCTTTAGTTATACCCTTGTCAAGATTTATAACTAGTGGACTACTCTGGTCTTTAGTTATACCCTAGGTTGTACATAACTAGTGGAGTATTCAATATTTGTATTATGCACCAATAAGGTTTGGGAAGAATAAGGGGATTGGTACTGTTTTGTATTGTACCCCCCAAGAAGGTATAGAACTAGTACCTTTATTTTTCTTATTTCCTGTTAGATACAGATAAGGTGAACAATCCCTTGTATTATATTGTAACCTTCTTTAACACTAAATATACATAGCACTTAAGCAGGGTAAACTTATTTTCAGACAGTGCACCTCTTTGTTCCTGCTTCCAGACCTGGATTAGAGCTTTATAAACATGAACTATTAGTTTTGATCCTAACTGAAAATTGTGTTTCAATCTTAAGGGGTCTAATTTGTGCTATAATTTAAGACCCCTTAAAGTTCATTCTTTTTACAGAGGTCAATATTTAATGACATAAATCATTACAGGTTTGAAACTAGATTGAAGCAGATAGCTAGGTTGCATGAATAAAAAGTTGCTCAAAATATCAAACACAAGTTTGGTTTTAGGAGGAAACTTCTGGTCATTAAAACTGGTATCTATTGGGGATGCTTAAAAAAATGAATTTTGTGGAGACTAATTTGAGTATAAATCTCTATAGTAATCAACTAACTGAAATATGAGAAGTGAAACAAATTAAAATAATTCTTGATCAGTTAGACATAGCTGCTCAGATCATTAAATAGAGGGTATATAAGTAAAGATTGGTGAGGTATGTAATTTGATTCAAGTAATTCTGATTTTTAACTAGATAACACATAAGTGTACTGACAATACATATGATAGATAGAACCAAATCAAACACTGTATATTATCATTTCTATTCAATAAAGTTATGGACCAGAGTATACCCAAACCACAAAACATAATCATCAATCTTTCAACAACAAAGTCTTTTCACCAATGCAATATTACTCGACACATTCTACTGTTTCCACTTTCTATCCACTCTCCGACCCTGAAGTACCAAGCAATATAGTTATAATTGAAAACCACTGGCTGTGTGTGTAGATTGAATCTAAATGAGGGTAAAACCCATCTATCTAAACTTATAATTCATTTCTATGTAGGCTTTGTAGTCATAATCTGTAGGTAGAAGTTTAAAAGTAAGAAACATTCCATGGGCACCTGAGAGAAGAGACATCCTGGAGTTATGCCAAGCTTCAATATCTATAAATCAGAAATATTGAAAAAATTAACTATAAAACAGATAACAATGGGGATGTCAAAATAATTAATTTTTTTCAAGCATTTTTGATGGCAGGAAACATGGTTGACCATGGTAGGAAACACGGTTGACCATGGCAGGAAACATGGTTGATCATGGTTTACCATATTTGTTGATGATGAATAACAAAAAGCATGATTAACCATCTCCATTAGACCATGTTTGACCAAGGTTGACCATAGTACAACCATGGTTGGAAAGTGCACATTTATAGAGGACACCAAAGAATATTATGAATCAGTTCTTTAAATTTTACTCTTGCATTCACAAATCTTTTATGACAAACTATAAGATCTGAAAAGAGAAGTGGACTTTTAGCAATACAAGAATATGTATCCATAAGGCACCCTTCCTAAGTCACACTATTACATTGCCATGATCAGATATTTTACTTCCAATCCTCACATTTCCTATGCATTTCAAATATGCAAGCTATGAATTGAATTTTGACAAAGATCAATAGTTATAAATGAAATTTTAAAGATCAATTTAAATCCTTTCTTTCGGCAATTCATTTAATATTTGAATAACTAATAAAAAATTCAAAATACTCAAGTAAATAGCTCTTATCATGAATTAAAACAGTCAATTTGTTCTACAATTACCAGAAGTTTAAATAGTACATTTGAACCTCTAATTATGTTAACTTATAGTCCCTCAGTTAAGCACCCTAACGGAAGTTCATGTTTTTGTTTTAGTTCGACCTTTTGATATATGCATATTACTGTCTTTATGAAAATCTATAAGGCAGAACAACTTATCAACATAATGTGGCTGAAAAAGACAATTTCTAAATGTCTTTTGTGTCTTTTTACTGTTTGGTTGCTGTATTATTGACCCACATCGCCTTTCATTCATACCAAGAAATCATAACTATTGTTTAAATGTCTTAGTTCTTTTAGTATGCACTGAGACTCGATGCAGATATTGCACTGAAATACTAAGGTATCTCAGCTGTATAAAAACACTGCATTATATAGAGAGGTTGAATGGAAGAAAGCACTACATATAACTTTAAGAGGAAAGGTGCAAATCCATGCTGCATCCTACATGCTTTATTTAAAAAAAATATTAGCACCCTTATTATTATATGATTGTATGGGAATCAATGCTAAAACACAATGTCATGGTAAATTAAAGGCAGAAAGTACCAGGTTAGTGTTCAGAACAGAGAAAAAAAAAAACATATTTAAAGTTTTTGTGTAAATACATTTTTTGCCACAGCATGTGCTGTTATTTTTAAGATATAGTATCTGTAAATTGTCACTGAATTAATCGTCTTGGTTGGTTCCAGACTAGAGCTCAATGGTTTTAATGTAGTGAACTGTAAAAGTCAATGTTTAATGCTGTGCTTCTGACAAAAACATCTATAGGCATGCTGATAGAAGCCAAGTCAGACAGTTCTAAGATAAGGTTGTGATAATTTTCTAATTTAAGATTTTGATAGAAATTCCAGTTTCTCAAGGCTCATTACAGAGATGTTAAGTTATGATATTTCTTTAATAACCTTGAATCAAATCATTTTATTTGTGGTTTTCTGCTTCAATATTTAACTCTTTCTAAAGTCACCACAGAATTTCAAGCAACAATGCAAACCAGGTATTTTTATGAATGGGAAAGAATTTTCCAGTGTGAAAATAATGACTGAATTTTGTAGATCAACTTTAATTTGACATATACAATATTTGCACCATAAAACCATACTTATGTAGACAAAACAGCAAGTACAAAGGAGTAACAAGTGCATCAGTCATACTGCAAAACTCCTTCCATTCTCAACTCATTTCTTTTCTTAGCATGACCCCAAATCCATTATTATCCCTAGATATGAATAACTACCATTTTGAACCTTCTATTGGTTTTTTTCAGTGGATATAATATGTTTAGACAACAATAACACAAGAATGATGGTTATATCTGCAATTATCAAATCACTTTACAAACAGAATTCTATTTTGAAAAAGATTTTAAACAAGAAAAGTTCTAATTTGTTGTTATTCTTATTCTTATTATTCTTTTTCATTTCTTTCATCTTTTTTCTTCTCTTTTATTTTTAGCACCCCAATGATTTCAACACATAAGGCACTCATTAGGCCCCCATCCCCCCCCCCCCCCCCCCCAAAAAAAAAATCTGTGTGTTTATTGTACATTTTTGTAACCTGCTGGAAAAATAGGATTGGTCGGCAAATTTATTTTTTTTAAATTTCATCAGCAAACCAGGATATATTCTTATCCTGTTCTGGAATCAGATCCGGTATTGTGTTTACCTTATTTTCATTGAACGGCCATTTGTCAAAGTTGTTTTTGTCAGTCATTATGTTTTACTTGGTTGAAGTTGTTTTTGTCAGTCATTATGTTTTATTCGGTTGAAGTTGTTTTTTGTCAGTCATTATGTTTTACTCAGTTGAAGTTGTTTTTGTCAGTCATTATGTTTTACTCAGTTGAAGTTGGTTTTTGTCAGTCATTATGTTTTACTCGGTTGAAGTTGGTTTTGTCAGTCATTATGTTTTACTCGGTTGAAGTTGTTTTTGTCAGTCATTATGTTTTACTCGGTTGAAGTTGTTTTTTGTCAGTCATTATGTTTTACTCGGTTGAAGTTGTTTTTGTCAGACATTGTTTTACTTGGTTGAAGTTGGTTTTGTCAGTCATTATGTTTTACTCGGTTGAAGTTGTTTTTTGTCAGTCATTATGTTTTACTCAGTTGAAGTTGTTTTTTGTCAGTCATTATGTTTTACTCGGTTGAAGTTGTTTTTGTCAGTCATTGTTTTACTCGGTTGAAGTTATTTTTGTCAGTCATTATGTTTTACTCGGTTGAAGTTGTTTTTTGTCAGTCATTATGTTTTACTTGGTTGAAGTTGTTTTTGTCAGTCATTGTTTTACTTGGTTGAAGTTGTTTTTGTCAGTCATTATGTTTTACTTGGTTGAAGTTGTTTTTGTCAGTCATTGTTTTACTTGGTTGAAGTTGTTTTTGTCAGTCATTATGTTTTACTTGGTTGAAGTTGTTTTTGTCAGTCATTGTTTTACTCGGTTTTACAAATTACTTGTTGCCAATTTTTGGCAGGAAGATAGCGGTTGAACAAAAGAAAACATTTGCTGCATATAAAGAATAATACCAATGAAAATATAATTTGCCCAATTTTCAGTGAAAAAAAAAAGTCAGGGTTGGCTCTCTAAAATTAAGGTCAGTCATAAGATACAGTAAACACATATTTTGGTTGTTTTTTGGGTTTTTTTTTTGCCTAGTTTAATATGGTAACAAATATTTTGTAGGTATGGATTTCAATGTTGAGAGAGCTACTTACTAAATCACCCATTATATAGAACATTATCTCAGGTATATATACAATAACAAAACATTTCAAATGTCCAACTTTTTAAACTTAAAGCATTAAATTTCACAATTTAATTTTTCTTACGACTTCAAAGTGAAATTATAAGGATACGAGAATGTTAATATCATGTTCAAATTACATTCTCAGTAGGCTCAGACCCTACACCAAAATATCTCAAAGTAAGGAATTCTACAGCCATCCCATAATAGTATTATCTCAGACTAATGTTAATATCATGTTCAAATTACATTCTTTTGTCATAAGCTCAGTTAAGGCTCAGACCCTACACATAAAAACATCTCAAAGTAAGGAATTCTACAGCCATCCCATAATTGTATTATCTCAGACTAATTGACTCCTGAAATAGTAAATATACAAAAAATTAAGCAAGAGTATATATTCTTTATGCCAGAAAAAAAGACATGGTTAAAAACTGAAAGCTATCAATGTTAACCTGTTGCTACAAGATAATGCCTTTGATGAATTTAGGTCACACTGAAGTATTTCGAATTTATTGCACAAATTTCATCATTCTATCTTTATCATGTTGTTGTTTGAAGCATCCATTATAGTTTAGTATATTACATTTAAGTCTACATCAACTGCTATCCAAATCCAACAGCTAGTTATTATTGGCGGAGGAACAGGAGTGGCAAGGAAATAAACACCCACCTTCACCAGGATAACTGACAATCCTAGTCAATTAAGATCGGAGTCAAATGTACCTGTAATTTAAGAAGATTGGGGAATTTGGCCCTCATTAACTATGAAAGAATAGAATATTTTTGAAACTAGTTTTGGTCAACAAGCTACTGCTAAGTTATATATCACTGTATCGCTTCAATATGAACTGGATTAGCAATAGGTCATTGATTTCAATGAAGTGCTAAATATGTTTCACCAAGAATTAGGTTACTGTATCAACAGGGCTGAAGATGACCGGTCAGTAATTTTGTTTAATCTTCAACTGTGATATTGCATGCAAGTCAAATACATGTATTTCATGAATGGTCACTTAAGAGACCTTGGTAAAATGAATGCTTTCTTCAACAAATGCAATGTGTATATCTAATATTCATTTTAAATCCTAACCTTTCCTTATAACGGATCATAAAATGTGTCCTTGGACCAAAGCGTTTAGACCGATTGGATCATACCTATATATAAATCTATTTTTACCTTGATAAACCAGGTATTTTAATCAATTTCTAAAGTAATGTATACCAGTATAACCTTACATAACATAGTTCTATGGGAAATATCTTCGGTATGTCATTCATAAAGTCACTTTCTATAGTAAATACTCATTAATCTCAAGGTATCAGTTAACCAAAAATTTTATAATTACACTAATGTCATTCAGTCACACAAGTGTCCTAATTCAGACAAAAGATGGACAAAAACAACTTTCATCAACTTTATTTTTAGCCTTTTTCACCTGTACAAGAAATTACCTGAATTTATATTTATCTTAAAATATGTTATTAGAAGCCAACTTTCATCAGAAACTCCCTTAGGGTGAAAAGCTGTCCTTAAATTGAGTGAAAAGCCATCTTCATTGAAGTTTATTCTATATTTCTGCAGCAGAACATTCAAGGTAGGCTTTAACTTAAAATGTATATCCATATATGATTTTTATATTTCAATAATCAATTAAACATAACTTTAATCAAAATTAGTGAAGATAATATATTTAAAAAAAATATTTATATTCAAAGCACTTTTCAATTAACTGTTAGCTCCATTTTAAATTATGCTGACTTGGTAAAAAACCATCTTAACATTTTTACCTTTTATTGGTACATATTAAAGTATATTTCACTAAGTTATGATTGGTGACAACCCAACCAATAACATATAAGTATTTTAACCATTAGTTTTACAATCAACAATTTTGCTAGACTTCAGAAAAAGGCTATTGAATTACATGTACATGTTCTGGTGTTACATGGTATTACAATAAGTCCTGCCCACAGTTTTCTGTCAGAAAATAGATTTAAGCTTTAAAACAGTAACAATATGAGCAATTGTTTTGAAACATTATGATTTTAAAGTTTTTAACAGTTTAAGGAGTATATTGCCAGTTAACATTATTTAAGATAATGAACAGTACAAGTACAGCTTGAGTAATTTTTTGTAACAGTTAGATTTAATCTTATGAACACTGAATTATGATTTTAATTTTTTTTCTTCATTTAAACAGTTATAATTTCAGAGGCAGATTTAGGGGGGGGGGGGGGGGGGCTCTTTTGTGGAAAAAATTTGATTAATTATTTAGGGAATCACTGATGCATGACTGGAGCAGGCCCCCTCTTATGGCAGTCAGTGAGCCCCCCTTATGAAAATTTCTGGATCCACCACTGAATCTAACAAGATTTTGTAATATTCAGAGTCAGGCTGGTAAAATTTTAGAATCTGTGTAGAGCTACCCGTGTTTTATGTATCATAATGAACTCTCACTGAAAAGTAAGACACTTTAATCCAGTCAACTGAGGTCAAAAAAGGATAAAATTAGGCAAAATACCAACATTAAACTAATGAAGCCTTAAAATGATACAGAAACATCAAAGGCATACCTGACTAAATACACAGGTGTATGACATAACGTAAGAGACATTAATTGGGGGGAAATTACCCCCCTTTAATTATTTCAGTAACCACTAATGTAAAGACTTGGTCAACAAACCATGTGGACTGTTAATGGATAATATTAAATGTTTATTTTGTTAGTTGTGTATATGATTCATGCTCATTAGCAGAGTTTGTGGTAGAGTGACAGGTGTGTTAATCTACAATAAAACTACTAACATTTCAAAATTTACTATTCATATGTATCAATCTGGTATAGTTTGTATTTAAAGGGTCCTCAAGCTCAACATATAAAATCTATCAATCATACCAGGGAAGAATTTAAGTGAATTTATCCCAAAATCTTCTTCCCTGATAAATACTTGCTCTAAATAACCTGACTGGTACAAAGTGCAGGACACTGTCAATGCAACATCAAGACTTTTTGAGACAGAAATCAGATGTATGTACAGATGGATCATAAGAAAAAGAGGCTAGTGTATGTTTTAGTCTTAGATACATGATTGTGTTATTAGTTGTTATTGGCTTAAGCTTTCAGTAACTGTGAATACTCTCAGATCTGTACTTTGTGTCTTTAGTGTTTTTGTAAGTTTTTTTGTGCTTTGTATCGATATGATCAGTTAAGCCATTTTCAACTGATTTTTATAGTTTGCTCTTAATAGGTTGTACTGTTACGCCACTGTCCCAGGTTAGGAGGTGGGTTTGACATCCTCAGACATGTTTAACCCACCACATTCTGTATGTGCCTATCCCATGTCAGGAGTCTGTAATTCAGTAGTTGTGGTGACCTACAGTTGTTAACTTTTTCATCATTAGGTCTATGATGGAGAGTTGTCTCATTGGCAATCATACCACATCTTCTTATTTTTATTTTTACACTTCTAATACTTCATCTATCAACGATACATAGGTCAAACTTGAAGGTATAACTATAATACAATACTCTGAAAATGCCAAAAAATAGTATTTATTCAATCCTTTTCAAATATAGTGGTACAAAATCATTTAGGGAGCACTCATATTTTTTGCCCATTCAACAATTTAAAATCAAAAAGTATAAATCTTTCATTTATATTTAGATATGAGCAAAAGCCTTATGCAACAAGATGTGTAATACACAAGAATAAAAATATCATTTTGGATATTGTCCTACATATACATGAAATACTTGCTACTGAACATTATACAAACAACAAACAATCAATGATTTTAGGCAGTATCTAATATCTAAATTTGCACATACAAAAAAAGGTCCATGAAAAATGTTTACTTTTATAATTATCTGTAAATAACGAGGCTTTTTCAATAACTAAGTGACATTAAAAATATAATGATATGATGTTGTTAATTAAGAAGGTCAACTGTATATCTTTGACCAAAACAATTGTATTCCATCAACAGGACATTTAACTTTCATTCATAAAAGTGAAAAAGAAGAGCATCTAACTTATAGCTAGAGGACATAATACTAATACTACTAAATCATGTTAGTATCATATCTGACAAAGGAACTGTCGCTACAATAACCAATTACACACAATCAACTTAAAAACTACCACTTTCATTGATAACTCCTGAAATCACTGGTTAAAATCTGATAAAATGATGAATGAGTGCACTTCTGAATGAACAGATTTTGTATCGGAATGTTTAGGTCAGGTGGAGCATCAGAATGTTGGTGTTAGCCATATGTTGGAGTTTGAAGACAATTATTGACCGGTGTCCACCAGGGACGAGTTCCATAACAGATGGTCTGGCATCTGTCCTTAAACATTGAACTGAGAGAAAAGGTTCACTCAGGACGAGCTTACTCATGTTTGTCATTCATCAAAAACTTTTATTCATGAGTTATCAAGAAGTTTAAGTATCAGTGTGTTAAAAAAAAAAAAATCAATTTAAAAAATGGTTGTAAAGTAACAAATTAAGACAACATTGAAGTCCTGTAACTTCCTTTTTTAAAAGGAAGTTACTGGACTTCAATGTTAATTAAAAAGATTAAATTAAAATAAAAGATTCATACCAGAAAGGTCAATACAGAGACTTTTCTTTTGATTCTGATCACAAGTAAACAAAACAACAGTCACCTCACCAACACTGAACAGATTCATACCACAAAGGTCAATACAGAGACTGTTCTTTTGATTCAGATCACAAGTAATCAAAACAACAGTCACCTCACCAACACTGAACAGATTCATTCCACAAAGGTCAATACAGAGACTGTTCTTTTGATTCAGATCACAAGTTATCAAAACAACAGTCACCCCACCAACACTGAACAGATTCATTCCACAAAGGTCAATACAGAGACTGTTCTTTTGATTCTGATCACAAGCAATCAAAACAAGTCAACTCACCAATACTGAACAAACTGACCAGTCAGCTAATTATCAATATAAATGTTCTTTTGAATAAATGAGGGTCCTCCCTTTAACAAAACCAAATGGAATATAAATTTAAACTACAATAAAACCAGTTCCATTAACTGTCCTTTTACTTTACCTTAAATTTCAAATTTTCTTCCACATGAATGCAAGAAATTTGTACATCTTTTTTTATTTGGCTTTGTTATCAAGTGAACAAATTTTCAGGCAGTCACATATATATTAAATAAAGGAAAAATTTTATCACTTCTTAATCAAATAATGCCAGATAATATTTTCCACATGATAAACTGTTCTAGGTAATTTCATCTTTTTAATTATTTTTTCTTAAATAATTTTCCTTATTCAAAAGAAAATTTCATGTGAAGAAAACATTTAAAGATCATCTTCATATATGAACCTTGATTGTTCAGTGCATTCTTCTTATTTAAGATACATTTCTGAACAGACTTGCATTTCAGACCACCATGGCATCATGGGATACTATTCAAGGTCATATCATCTGTCAATGTTGAACAATTACATAATTATGACAGGCAATATCATTATATTGAAAGAATATAGATGACCCTGATTGACATTTGAACTGTAATGTATTGAAGCACACATCAGCAGTATCTCAGTAATGTTACCCTTAACATTTAAACTAATAAATCATAAAGAGGTTTTTTTGTGAAATTCTTTACCATAATTTTGGCTTTAAGCTGTCACTTTGAATAGGTTTACTTCAAATTAGAAAATCTGACCAAATTTTAACAGCACAGGAGAAAATAAATGAGAAACATCTCTCCTCCACTAGTAATAAGTGATCCCGACACCTGCTCTTACAATTCTATAGGCCACTGCTTATTAACTTCACCTTCCACAAATCATTGTCTCTTTCCAGATGAATATTTATAAGGTTTGCCAAGGGAATTTGATGCTGGACCGATTAATTTTCACAATACTCATTTAACAGGTAATTTTCTGTTGGCCTTCTGGGCTATAGCCAAACAAGTGGCAATTTGGACTTGAAGTATTCTACTTTGACCCTGACTCATGCCAGTTGACCTTTACTGTATTAATCTTTTATCTGCATAATTGGTAAGGGTTTTAAAATCTTTTCAATGCATAAACTCCATTTGTGGAATTAAAATAAGGCCCTTTTAAATATCAATTGATTCCTGATTGATATCTGGGAATAAAGCCCTGATAAGGTAAATTTCACGAAATTACTGTAGTGTTGAAAACAGAAGGGATATGACAATAGATTTAATATACATGAATTAAAACTTCCACTTTTAAATTGGATAAGAACCCATTGAAATGAGAAGGTCGATATATTGTTTAGGAATATTTATTTTAATATAAACAGTATCAAGTTTGCATAGGAAGGAAAATGTGCCTTTTTGGCTGCACAGGCTGAGCACTATATACTTCTGCTAACTGGGTTAATTTTCTTTTGTTTGTTGTTTCTCTACAAATCCTCTTAATTTTGACTTAAAATAGTGGTAGGATTTCAATGAAACTTCCAGAGAATCTTTAGTATGGAAGTATGGAATTGTACACTCACTTTTTTTTTATATCTATATGTAAATGGGGGGGTGGGGGGGGGGGGGGTTAAAAATTCAGATTTTCACATGGGAATATTAGCAAAAGTCATACAATAATAAAAAAATATTTCTCAATAAATTAACAAAATTAATATACAATACAGATATATACTTGCTGTCTGTTCGATTTTCAAACTATTTCTTAAAAGATTAAGCTGATCTGAATGATTTTACTCTGTTGTATATTTTTAACAAAAAAGTGATATATTGAAACCCTGCAGAACCAGTACTTAATGTATACAGAACCTCATTAAACAATGCCACACAGATATTATCATTGACCCTTATCTCATTAAAGATCCCTCTACCAGAACCCCATTAAAACCACCACAAAGTGTACAAACTAAGCATCATTACAATGCTTAAAAAATGTGAATTCCCTTTGCATTTTGAAACACCTTGAAGAAGTGGAGAATATGTATTTGCAGACATTAAATTCAATAAATGTTCATTCCTGTATTGAGAGATTCCATGAAATTTTAATAACATGTATAGCTGACACATATTAGTTTGATTCAAATTTATACAACGTCATTCTTTATAGTTCTCATGAGAAATCTAAAACATTAACTGTTGAGTTATAAACAACTGAGAAATGTCAATATGCAACATTTCCACTTTTATTGATTTCATTCTATAACATATGATTATTTAAATACAGTATTCAGGATGCAGAAAAATGCACAGCACAAGGGAATTATATGCAGATGCTAAAATTCTAGAAATTTTAAATACAAATGATTGAACGAAAATACTTCCAAACATAAATGACTGGGGAAAAATGTCACATTGTCAAGGGTTACAATCTTATTTGTCTGTACTAGTAAAATCTTGGAACTTAGAAACAACATGGATATGATTGTAGAGCAACATTTTGGCATGTCCATTTCCTTAACACTTAAGTTTTGAACACCATTTTTCCTTGGTTTTTTGTTTTTTTTTGTTTGCTTTAGTAATATGTTACCATGAAAGTTAGAAATCTTAAGTAAAACAGATAAACTGAACAACCATTATGTTGTTGAAACTCTTTAAAAGGCTGTAATATAACTAAACAATTGTTTTTGTTTTATCAGTTTGTTAGGTAGCTGTCTTGTTGCCATGTCCATTACATGTATAATCTTGATTTACTTACTTACTTACTTACTGCCCTGGATGCCATTGATTTTAAAAAGTCCTTTTCCTGTACATCTAAACATGATGTGGTGTAAATGTCATCAAGACAGCAACCTATCAAACACAGGCAAAGAAAACTCGGACACTACTGACATCCTGTGATGTCACTGTAGCATACACTTGCTCTGTGATGATTCTGGATTGTGATGTTACCTTACATAAACGTTGGTCTCTTATAAGCTTTTGTGAGAAAAAAATGACACAAGTGAAGAGTTGAGACGAAAATAAAATATAATTTCTCTTTCCTTAAATTGCAGACTTTTCAATGTTTTTAAATGCTTTACTTAAGATTTTGGGGGGATGAGAATATGATGGTGGCGGGGGCATTTCCAAAAAATACAAAAATCATTTAATACCTGCCAAATAGGTAGAGCAATTTTCTAAGAAATTATAAATTAAATATACTTACTTGTGAGTACACAAAGAAGGAAGAGGTATTCTGTGTAAGATATTATCCCTAAAATAGAAATTGACATAAAACTTTAATAACAAAAAAACTTACGTCACATTACATCACATACATGTATTTGTACTTTTGAGAAAAATCATCTCAAAATTAGACACGATTTTCTCATATATCATTAATCTTCAATTCCTGGAAAGAATATTTATGTACAAATTAACAGTAATCTGGGTATGTATAACCACCCATGTTTGAACTAATATTATCAGGGAATGACTTCAGGACTGAGAGATAAAAGACAATTCCATTAATCTGCCGCTATACACCCACTACTGCTACTAAATATGACACAAATATGACATTTTCTCAATGAATTTATGGAGATATCTTAAGAAAGTTTTATCATATTTCATTCATTAATGAGCAATATTACGTAATACATTTCTCAAATCTAGATTTCATTCCAATAATTTATAAGAAATAGTCAAGATTATGTTGATCAAAGGCCATAAATATTTATAACCTATTATTTATGTCTTTTAATACTTTCATAAAAAAAATGAAATTTTGATTTATACAATATGGCACAATTATTGACAAATTATTATTTGTAGGAAAACCAATGCAAAATTGCATGTAGTACGATCGCCAATGAGACAACTATCCACCAGAGTCCAAATGACGTGGATGTCAAGCAACTATAGATACCACCTTCAACAATTAGCAAAATCCATTTATAAAAGGCAAAGATATGATAAAAAGTGAATAAACTCAAACAACAAAAGCAGTTACAGCCTGATATATAGAAATGTCAAAATGTTCATTCAGTAGCATTAATACCACTCATATTCATATACTACCAGTCAAATTCAATCAATAATATAAGCATGTTTTTAGTTTTACAATTTAAACATAATCCAACCTGATATAACGCCTGTAAAGAGAATACTAGGTAAAGGTCGGCCCATGGAGGGTCAGTACAATCTTAATGAGAGGTGTCAGATAATGTCATCTCTTTATTGAAGAAGATCTTCCAGTAAATTTATCATTAGAGAAACAGATTCCCCCACTATAACTCATGTATTATGATATTTCTCCACTCTCAACAGTTAAATTTTAATTATTTAAAAAGCTCAACAAGCCTTGCACTTTAAATATTAAAATCTAACTGTCTTGAGTGGAGAAATATTGTAACACACTTGATGCAGTGGTGGAATCTATATAACTCCACTCCTTTTTAATACCAATCTTGAACAGGATTTATATTTTTTTTCGTTATTTTACTTATAATGGCAGTTTATTTTTAACATCATAACATATGAATGGTTTTGATGGGAAAGTCAATGATGCAACTAAAATATGCATTTTAATCTTCTGCTATTGACAGTTGGAGGCACTCTTATTCAGCATTTTTTACTAAAATCGTTGCCAAATCATCATATTTAGTTTGAAATAAAGTTCTGCACTGTCACTTCAGCTTTAATTGGAACTTTTCTTTAATGTAAAATAAGAAGATGAACAATTGGCTTGGACACTAAATGACATAGATGTCAGCATTTCAAACAAAACAATACATTTCAAGTAATTCAAATATTGAGATTTCGAATTAAAAGTCAGCAAAGCTGCAGCAACTATTTTTTTTGGGAATGATTATAAAAGATGATGGATTTTCAGTTGTGGCTAATATATACTGGGAGTTACTCATACTTGATTCATTATTTCTTTCTTTTCAAATAGTAGGACATCAAAAGTTCAAATTTGTGACCACCATGAAGATCTAAGCCTGATTTAAAGTCATCATTTTTCTGCTTTGTGCATCATTGTTACTGTTTCTAATTAAGCTTCTATTTGATTAATTACCAACAAGCTCCAACTGGCTATTATACCCATTTTTGAATAATTTCATCACCTTCATGTTTTGTCAAACACTTGAGCCTGAGTTACAAATTGTTGAGAGATTGAATAGGTTTTCCAAGGAGAAAGCCAAAGGGACATCATTTATCACATCGTCTAACAAAACAAATCACCTTACAATTGTTTATTTATCATTTCAAATAACAAGCTATTTCAATATCATTAAATGTACAGGGTACAAATAATAGATGAGCCTTTCTTTTGAAGTACTTGTTTTCCAAACGCACACAGACTTTTTCATTTGTCTGAGGCAAATAACTGCAGTGATTGCGGTATAATTATAGTTGAACAGAAGTTTGGGAACTATTCAGCAAACCTACCACAGACTTAAAGATACAAAATGATCAGTAACAAGTATTTGTAACTTTGTGAACACTTCACAGTGCATAATTCGTCTTCAGAAATTATTGTACAACAAGAAAGATGTCTTTGATATGGGCTTTCTCAGTTATAGGGAAAAGTTGCTATCTTTTCCAATTAATTTGATTATTTAACTATGTATGGTCTATTTGCTTCTCCATATAAAATGGAATTGTTTCATGTTTTTTGTTGTTGAATTTTTTCAATGTAATGTAACCATCATCTGCCTAACTTAGGTTAAATGAATCCTTTTCACTCCTTGTGTTGCTTAAAGTCTCAGCATCCTCTAATTACATATTTCCCCATCAAAATATCCCAACCGTCCCATCATGCAGCAGTCTATTTTCTATGACATCAAATTACAGGTAAAAACAAAAGAAATTCAATAAGTTGTTTAATCAGTGTTTAGAATAGTAGGCATGACTCCCTCTCAACACTCATGTATGTATGTTTATACTTTTCCGGTCAATAACAGGGAATGAAAAGGAAATGTTTCAGGATAGGAAATCAGATGTGATGACATGTTAAAGAGGCTTGTACTCTCCACTGCAATCTGTGTTAAGCAGATATAACAATCAAACAGATAATTGTCACTTCCTATAGAAAAATGTCATATTTTAATCTTATTATAATGACTTTATTGTGATAAGTTTTTTAGACTGTTTGAGAAATACATATAAGGAATTTGAAAGACACCATATCAAAGGTTCTTACTAGCAGACTTATGCCTTTATATTGAAGACTTTTCAGTTGAAATTTTTTGTTCAACTTTCTGCATTCTGATTAACAATAATGCCAGACATATAGTTAACACTTGCTACTTGAATGTATAACAACTTGAGAAGTGAAACCTGATAAGTATTAAACATGTTCTAAGTTAAACCTCCACTACTAAAGAAATCACCAGGATACCAGTTTTATTTTACTAAATCAGGTCTGATATTTCTGACCTAAAATAATACCTTAGTAAGTTTCATACTTCAAATTCATCATTTTACAGCGGATAAAAAGACGTGTCGACTTAGGGGGCAGCACGTGGCTACTATTGTAATGTTTCTAATGTTTCCTATTACAATGAATGCATACAATAACAGTAATCAGCCCTATACATCTGCTCACTACGCTTGTCCATTCAAAAAATGGAGGGAAATTGTCCTGAGAGCAACCTGTGTCTAAGGTAAAACATCTTTATTATTATTTTATTTTAAAGTCATTTTAATAGTTATTCAAAAATACAGTAATATCATTTAGTAACTTTTGCCATACAGATTTTTTTTTAATTCTGATCAAATTAAGAAACAGAAAATAAAATTATCCATGGAATTTCTAGAGTTTAAATTGCAGTATTAATTATTTATTGAATCTGCATCAAAACAACCAACAATGAAATTCCACTATTGATGTTGTTATATAACAAAATAAGGCAATGTAAAGGTTTTTAATGAAAAATAAATAATCAAAAATTCATCTAAACAGCAGGAAACATTCCCAGGATAAAAGAGATATCAGTAATCTGATTTAATCTTTTAAGGAATGAGAATTACATTATCCTAAGTCAATTCAACTAATCTGTGATGACAGTACAAGTTTTTTTCCCTGCTAATTACTTACTTATTACAACACTCCAATGTATTGTACCTTTTAATTGGTTGTTAATTATTCAATACTATTGTCAATTATCTATGAACAATACCTAATCCTAGCTCATATACCATTATCTAATTGGATTAAAAGGATTGTCATTCTGACAATTGAAATTTTATTATATTCCATACAAATGTGAAAACAGATTTTCTTTAATCCATTTAAGAAATTCCAAATATATCTTTTGTGAATTAAAAAAATATTTAGACCAGTGAATTTTATGAATATTTAATTTACTTCAATCTGTCAACTATGATTATATAATTGCCCTATGATTAGTATTAGCATTCTATGTATTCTCATTTTATCATTAATATAATGTAATTAAATAATAAATTATTTTTTTAGATACTTCATATCATATTAATCTAACCATTTGACAGTTTATTTAATATGATTGTCATTTACAAAAAACTTGCTGATTTTATATTTCTTTGAATAAAACAAATTGACCAAAATACAGAGTAACCACCCCTTTTGTTACAAACATTTTCATGGGGGTTTCAAGAATCATCAATTATCATGGAGGGCATCATCAGACATACATGACATAGATAGAGAAATATGTATATGGTACTTTTGACTGTAGGACATTTTGGGCATGGAGCAAAAAAAACCCAACCTCTTACAAACCTTTCAAAAACTTTACAAGTAATTTTGAAATTGTCATTAAGCTGTATAAGATAAACAAAATATTTTGTAAACATCTAGGAGCTGTCTAAATATTTTGATAATTTGAACTTTTGTGTCCCCTTTTATCATGTTTATAGGGGGCGGGTAATCTAATGTGATAAATCATTTTAATGGAAAGTTCCATTTCCTAAGCTCTGTTTATGTAACATCTGAGATCAGAGAGATGTCAGACAGCAGTTACATCAGCCTGGAAATGTTACAATAAATTCAAAGACTACTTGACATTTACCATAGCATCAAACCATTGACTTAATGGACATGAAACCGACTACAAACCTAATCCCCAATAACATCACAAGCCTTTGCTTTATAGAAATTAAGTGGCTGTAAAGCATCGGGTATAACTGTGCATTAAATTTAAATAAAACTATAATGGCATGCAAATCTTATACAATATTCTGGTGCAATCTTATAATGTTTTGCCTCTGTTAGAAATGTTTGCT